GTCAGCTTTTAATGTTTTTATGGTTTCTAGTACAGTAGCACTTGCTTAAGTGCTCTTCCTATGCAGGCATTCTTAATATGTAAGAGTGTTGATTGCATTGGTCTTCTAAATGATTTTCTGGGGCCAAATAGTAGTATGTCTAAAAGAAAAAAAAATTTTTTTTCATGGAATGAATAAGTTAAACTTTATTCATGAGAGATAATTTTTGTTATAAATAATGAGGATTCCAGAAATAATTAAAGTTTTATTTTAAAAAAGGTTTTGCTCTAGTGAAAACTTTGCCCTTGATGGGCTTGCCCAGCGGCTCAGTTGGTAAAGAATCTACCTGCAGTGCCTGAGACCCAGGGTTCGATCCCCAGGTCAGGAAGATCCCCTGGAGAAGGAAATGGAAACCCACTCCAGTACTCTTCTGGGGAATTCCATGGACAGAGGAGTGATTCCATGGGATTGCAAAGAGTAAAGAGTTGGACACGACTGTGCAACTAACTTTGACTTTTTTATTTTGCCCTTGATATAAAATAATATTTAGTTTAGTAGAAGGGGGAGTGAGTGTCTAGCACCCCTCCAGATACAAGTTACAGCATTGACACAGAGTAAGATAAGTTCAGATAAAACCTGGGCCAGACTGGCTTGATTCAACGGCAGTGGGTGTGTTTGATAACGCTGTCCAAAGTAGCTGTTCTGGAGTCATACTGCTCCAGTTTGAATTGGTAATTTGCCTAAGTGTTCTAGGTTGTAAATCATTTTCCCTCAGAATTTTAATGGCATTGCTTTATTAATTTCCTGCTTTCAGTGCTGCTGAAGCCATTTTGATTCATAATCCTTTGGGTATGACTCAGGTTTTTTCCTCCTTTTTTCTGTCATTTCTCTGGAAATGTTCAACATCTATTTCTAGTGTTCTGAAACTTGACAGTGGTTTTTTAATTTTTTTTAAATCTGTTTTCAGTTACTGTGTTGAGAATTTAGTGGACATTTTGGTTAGACTCTGGAAAATCAGGCCTTTCAGTTCTGGTGAATGTTCTTTGGATATTTCAAAGCTTTCTCCCCTCTATATTTTGAAGGATGTAGGATATCTGCTTTTCCTGGTATTTTGATGCTGAAATCTTTGTCTCATTTTTTGTTTTTTCCTTCTGTTTTTCTTTTTTGCCCCCACTTTCTGTTTTTCTCCCCACCTTGGATTTCTGAAGAAGAAAAATTGCCTCAACTTTATTTTTTATACCTCCTAATAAGCATTTTGTTTCTGCTGTTATGTTCTTAAAGAAAAGCTCTCTTGACACTTGTTAAGGTGACAAACACAGCTTTGCTTAGGACCATAAGCGTGTGTTAGACTGCTTGTGCTAAATACCGTAGACCGGGTGGCTTAGACAACAGACGTGTGTTTTCTCACACTTGGGGGGCCGGGAGTCTGAGGTCAGGTGCCAGCATGGTTGGAGTCTGGTGAGCACCCTCTGGGTTTCAGATGGCCACCCTTCTGCTGGGCACTCACGCGGTCTTTCCCTGCATGTGTACGCTGGGCGGAGAGATGGCGCTCTTGCCTTTCTTTGTAAGGCTGCCAGTGTTGTTGGGGCTTCCCTGATGACTCAGATGGTGAAGAATCTGCCTACAGTGCAGAGACCTGGGTTCAATCCTGGGGTTGGGAAGATCCCCTGGAGAAGGAAATGGCAACCCACTCCACCATTCTTGCCTGGAGAATTCCAGGGGCAGAGGAGCCTGGCAGCTGCAGTCCATGGGGCCACAAAAAGTTGGGACACGACTGAGCGACTAACACTCCCCACTCCACCAGTCCTGTTGGATTTGGATCCTACCTTTATGATTACCTCCTGAAGGCCCTGTCTCCAAACACAGTTGCAGGGGGAATTACGGCTGCAACATATGAATATGCAGAAGAGTACAATTCAGTCCACAGCAGACACATACATTCAGTCTATAATAGGGGGTTATGGCAGCCCACTCCAGTACTCTTGCCTGGAGAATCCCATGGACAGAGGAGCCTCGTAGGCTACAGTCCATGGGGTCGCAAAGAGTCGGACACGACTGAGCGACTTCACTGTCACTTTCACAGTAGGGAGGGAGACTGGGTTCCACTTTGAATACAGCAGAGATAGCTGGGGACTTGGAGCCAGTGAGCAGGGGTCAGGGGACGCAAAAGACTAAGTGGAAACCGCTCGGGGAGGGGATTTCTGCTAAACTGAACTAAAGGGGCTCTTGTTGAAGGCAAATTAAGGATTTATATATCAGAGGGATGAGGAACTTGGTAAGATATCAAGGGTGCGGGAATTTCCCCAAACAGGCTTAGCAGCATTCTTGCTAAACTGGCCTCTGTAAGCCTAACAAGGACCTGACAGACTCGGAAGGCCTAGCTGAGGCCTCAGCAGGAAGAGGGCTCAAAGGCCCGGTGAGTTTGGCCAAGAAGAGAAGTTGTGGTCTGCACACCCTTCATTGTTCCTGGTGTTTCTCTTTCCAGAGACTCTCTGTCGGCTTCCTGAGTGACTAAGACGGTAAAGAATCTGACTGTAATGTGGGAGCCTGGGTTCGATCCCTGGGTCAGGAAGATCCCCTGGAGAAGGGCATGGCAACCCCCTGCAGTATTCTTGCCTGAAGAAATTCCATGGACAGAGGATGCTGGCAGGCTACAGTCCGTGGGGTCGCAAAGAGTCAGACTCGCCTGAGCAACTAACACTTTTCTGTCTCCTTCAGAGAAGAACCTCTAGGTTTCTCTGGGGCGATGATGGGAGAGGAGGGGTTTGCCCAGTGTATGGAGTGTGTGGCCGGCATTAGGAAGTCTTTCTCAGAGAACTTCCATGTAGTCTTCCTTATGTTAGACTCTTTTCACCCTTGCTCTTAGAAGACTGTAGTTTTAAGTCTCTTGAGAGTCAGTGGTATAATTTGGGCTCTCTTTCGTCTTTCTTCCTCCCAAATTTGGGGTTTGGCTTTTGGGTGTGCTGAGTCAGCTGTCCTCCAGCCACTCATGTCCCAGCTTCCGGAATGTTGTCGTTGTCTCTCGGGTTCTTCCTGCCTTGTGGACTGATACCTTTTTAAAGAGTTCTTTTGCGGTAGATTTAGGGGTTTGATGAAGGAACAACATTAGATGTATGCACTTACGTCTCCTTTAAGTCTGTTGTCTTAACTGGGAAGCTGCAGCAAATGGTTCAAAACGGGAAAACAATTTGAATAGTTCCAGGAAATTTGCTGTTCTTTTTTGAACTGTGTGGGTTCTGCTTTACTGTGATTTTCCCCCAGATATTTAATGATTCCTAAATGATCCCTCATGACTGTCCTGTAGTTTCCCTTTGTATGTAGAACTTAACAAGACCATTTTCTTGAAATTTACTGGTGGCTTCAAAAAAGGCCTGTGGGGATATGTAAGGGAAGAAGACAGTGTTGATAGCAACAGTTGGGTGCCATTAGAATGGGGATCTCAACCTTATGTCACTTAATCCTCATAGCAATTCTGTAAGGTAAGTGATATTATCACTTATGGATAAGGATGAAGATAATGATCAGAGAGATTAACTAACTTACTTAAGAGCTAGTCAGACAGTGGTGGAGCTTCATTTCAAACGTAGACTTTAAGACCTTTCAAGTCCTCCTAGGCTACCAAACGGTGTGAACAGTTCTTTCATTCTCTCAGTGAATGTTGAGTTGCCTGCTTTGTCTGGGCCTTGGGGCTACAGGAGGACCGTGCCCTGATGCAACCAGTATACCATGATCAGACTTAACTTTCAATAGAATTTCTGGTGATCTGTGAGTATGGGCAAGAGTAGGAGTAGGCAACTAAGTTAGTTACAGGAGTCCTGGTAAAAGGCATGTTAGTTTTAACCAGGATGGCAGAGGAGCTGCAGAGAAGTGGGTGCATTTGAGGTACCTATTGGAGGTAGAACCTGTAGGATTAGGTGGTGATAAAGATATGAAAGGAGCTGAAAGAACCAAGGGTGACTCCAAGTTGGACTGAATGTTGTTGGTGCTTTTACTGACATAAGGAATGTAGTGGAACAGAGTAATAACACAATACTAATAACATTGTTACATCTGTTAGATATCTCCATGAGAAGGTGTCCAGTATGCAAGGAAATACCTGGGTATTCAGTGGTGTTATAGACTGGAGGTATTTGGGCATCAATTACACATAACTGTTGTTTAGTGGCTAAGACATATCTGACTCTCTTGTAACCCCATGGACTGTAGCCCTCCAGGCTCCTCCATCCGTGGGATTTCCCAGGCAAGAATACTAGAGTGGGTTGCCACTTTCTTCTCCAGGGGATCTTCCTGACAGGGATCACACTCATGTCTCCTGCATTGGCAGGCAGATTTGGTACCACTAAGGCACCAGGGAAGCCCATCACTTACATATATTCTATTTAAAGCCCTGGGACTGGATATGATTATTTAGGGAAGGTGTGTAGACGTAGGTATGGTCATCCAGATCTGAAGCAGTGTTAACTGATTCACTTCAATGGAGAATCCTCAGTTCATTTCTTAACCAGCAAGCACTTTGCTGACTTGCCAACAGTTAGCAGCTTTTCGATTGAACTATTTACCAGACATCCTTATCCTTCATGAGGGACTAGGCCTGATGAAGAATCCATGGGGGACATCCCAGATTTGAGAATGCCACACAGAAGGAGAGTGTGGGAACAAGCGTCTTTAAGTGTCGATAAGTAAGGAAGTGCTAGTGTAACTCAAGAGTGGGCTCGAGGTGAAATCTGTGACCATTGCTCTGTTTTGTCCTGCTCGCATTGTAGTTCTCTGCAGATACCGTCAAAGGAAGCTGGTGGCAGAGTAGGTGTCCCCCTTGAGTGGAGCAGCCTCTGCTGGGTCCTTCCGTGTAGCTGGTAAAGGGTGGGGCGAGGATTACCTGTGCGGGGTACTTGTGTGTTTCTATGAATTGTGATTTACATGTTAACTGAAAGAAAGATTATTATTAAAAAAAAAAAACTCCAAAGTGAGTCACTTTACTTTGTTCCTTTGAAACAGGAGGTCGTGGATAGCTCCCTTCGAAAATGGAGGACGGAAGGCCCGTGTGGGCCCCGCACCCCACAGAGGGGTTTCAGATGGGCAACATCGTGGATATTGGCCCTGACAGCTTAACCATTGAACCCCTAGGTCAAAAAGGCAAGGTAAGAAGTTTCTTAGAACGATTTCAAAATCTCTCTTCTTACTGTAGCCATCTCCCTTTTTAATGAAGTAGGTTTTTGTTTTGTTTTGTTTTGTTTTGTTTTTTATAGCTCAGATAAAGGGAAGCAGTTTTTTGGGTAGTGAATCATAGTTTTCTACTGAGTCCCTCGGGGGAAAATGATATCCCTTCCTAAAATCAGATAGTAATTTAGTGAACCTTTAAGTAACATATTCTTAAGGAGAAATAGCTACATAATAAAATATAAACAATAACATTGTTATTCCTGATGCCATATAACTGAAGTTATGAATATATCTGTGATATATTCAACCTGTTACCAAGTGAAAATATGAAAAGTGAATGATGTTATGAAATTTTGCTGTTTGCTTTAGCTTTTGAATAATTTAAAAAATCATTTTAAACTGAAATATAGTTGATTTACAGTGTGTTAATTTCTGCTGTACAGTGAAGTGATTAAGTTATACATATATATACATTCTTTTTTATATTCTTTTCCATTATGGTTTATCGTAGGCTATTGAATGTATTTCTCTGTGCTATGTAGTAGAACCTTGTTGTTTATCCATTCTGTAATTATTTTTTAAAAACTTTTTATTTAGTTAATTTACCGTATAATTAGAAATAAAAATATTTCTATTAAGTAAAGATATTTTACTTCAGTCTTAAGCATAACCATCTATTATTATTTTTTGTTGTAATGGTATTTTTAAAACATAAAAGCATATTTCAGTTTTGTTGCATGGTATCTGTTTCCTTTTAGGCTTAGACACAGACTAGACAGTCTAACAAAATGAAAGTTTGGGGGGAAAGTGACCTGGAGTCTTCATTTCTGAGAGACTGTAGGGCCTGTTTTGTGGGAGAGCTTTACTCTTCTTAGTTTAGTAGATATTCCTGTTAAGTAGGACTTCTAACTTAAATTTGTTGATATCATTTCTGTTTACTTTAGACTCTGCCAGTGTTCATGAATAATTTATATTCTACTGATACATGGTTAACTAATGCCATATGACTGCCATCCTTCTGGGAACCTTAGAAAAACAAGGTAGATCTCTCATGAGGTCTGTTCACAGAGAAAACTATTCTGTTACTGTAAACAATCCAGGAACCTAAATGCATAATATATAATGTGCCGTGTTAGAGGAGGCCAATTAAAGATACCCTCAGGAAAGAAAAGATAGAGTGTTTCTAGTTTTTCCTTTTATTAACAAGTACCTATTTGTACTTAACAATGCAGTACATGTTCTAAAAAAGAAAGAATTTTAAAAATAAGCTCAATTATTTGTATATATTTGAAGTTGTAGGGGAGGAAAAATTTTCCTCCACCTTTTGGATCTCTGGGCCTGAAAATTAAATTGACATAAGACAGATTCACAGTAGGAACGCATACAACTTCTATCACATTTTTACAGGAACATAGCAGCCTTCACAAGAGAATGAAGAATTAAAGAAGTAACCAGACCAGGAGGCTTTTATGTCTTTTAGACAAAGAAACAATAAATTTGAGGAGAATTGATAAGGCAGGGGCTTTTGGGCTAAGGGTGGTGAATTGTGGCTAAGTGGCAGGGAGGGCCAGGGTTAGTCTGAGGAGACAGGGTTTTTCTGCACAGATTTCTCTGGGCCTCCATTCCCTCCCCTGGTGATAAGCATGTCTCTTTCCTCCTGGTAGAGGGAGGGACCTTTCAAGTGGGAGTTTTATCTCTTGCTTTCAGGAATAAAAAGGGTCAGAGTACACTTATTACAGCTGCTATTTCTCAAGTGCTTTTAACTCAAAATTATCAGTATGCCTAAGTAGCATATTTGGGGGGGAGTGACAGAAATGTAGTGAGTCTTTCTTTGTCCTTCAAAGTCTTTTTAAAAAAATATTTTTAACATATTTTGTTAGCACAGTAAATCAAAACCACAGAATGAAAAGTACATTTCCTAGTTATATTCTGTTATATTAATATGTATTCTGTTGTATCCATAAGTATTCAGTTCAAGGATGGAAGAAACTTGCTTTATGGGTATATGCTTTTTTATATTTTAAATATTTTATGTGCTTGCTGTCCCTTGTTAGTATCAATCAGGTGCACACATAGAATCAATTCAAACACTTAAAATTTAAATTGTGGAGTTATAGAAACCTTTTGGATTATAGATTATTTGTAGCTAAAGTTGAAGTTTCTTTTCACAAAATTTTTTGAAAGTGAACGAATTCTCTGTGATTTCTTTTAATTCCCCGTCTCCCTACTTCCTGGTCAGAGTCTTAATAAATTATAAAGTGTCATGACAACCGTGTGGTTAAAAATATCTGTAGGAGAAGCAGCCTCTTGTGTGGATGATTCGTGGAGTAATGATCATCAGCATTTGAAAATTAAGCAAGTACAGAAAACAATGGACAAGTTAAACAGATCTGTTTGCTGATACAGTAGAAGTGTGGAAGAGCTGATTAGCTCTCATGGAACATGTTTTTGATGATAGCAGTGCCTTTTGAAGTTTTTCAGTTGTGGCACATAGTAAGAAATAGATTTTAAATCACATTAGGTAGGTGTATTATTCATGTGTATGTATATGTGTACTGATAACAAATAGATATTACGTGTCAACAACACACATGTGTATGTATTCAAATGAAACATCTTTTTCATGTGTGATGCATTCTGATATTTTCTGATATCTTTTATTCTGTTAAAAATGCCATCTTGAACCTCTCAATTGACTTCACGTTCCATATTTGCAGCTGACTGGCCTTCAGACTAAAGCCCCGAACACATGGCACTTGAGGGTCTACCTTTCCTTTTCCCATTGCTAGTCTTGTCCGCTGTCAGCCCGCAGTCTCCCCCAGACACTCTTGCCGGACCCTTGGTCTTGTGTGTCTTTGTCTTCCTCTTACAGCCTTCCCCCTCGGTCCTCAGGGGTCCAGGTGGTGCTGTGTCTCTGCTCACTTACTCCTTTTGCCTGGAATGTCGCTCTCCACAGCCCCGTGCAGAGCAAACGCTAATCCGTCTCTCAGGACTGACTGAGGTCACCTCCTTTCTGGAGCTTTCCCACAGATGCTCCGTCTCTTCCTCCTCCTCCCATGCAGTCAAGTTTACTGTTGATTACCCTTTGGTTTGAAGAGTGGTGTACATTCTTAACCTCTGTAACACTTTGTTGGAGACATTGGTTTACATTTCTCCCCTCCTACTGGACTGTAATCTTCTCAAGTACGGGGCCGTCTCCTTCGCCCATGTTGTCATAGAGCTGGATGCCTTGTGTCTGCGGGGTGGTGGGTGTTGACTGCAATCTCTTGAGAGGAGAAAAGGCCTCCTCCCTCTAAGAGAAAACAACTGCCTTAATGAAATAAGTTTCCTCTTTCTCACTAAGGAGTGGTAAAGGGGGGAAGAAGGTGGAGGCTGGTGGTCATTTGGGGGGTGAAACAAGATGGAGAGAAACTAGCTTCAAGGGCTTACTACAGGCTTTTCAGCCCCGAGCTTCCCCTTCCCACTGCAGGAACGCTTTGTCCTGCAGCCCTTTTTCTGACCTCTTAGAGTCTCCAAATATAATAGAGCCAACACCTGGAGTCTGGGGAGGCCTTAGCCCCGTGGCTGAGGCTGTGAAAGTGGCACGTAGCCCTGTGACATCAGGAGCTATTTCTGAATGTGTTTTTCCTGTAGAATCATTGTTATAAATTGTGGATTGTTTTATAGCACCATTAATATACTTAATGTACATTATAGATTAGTTCTCTACTTGTGATTTATCCTTTAAACCTTCCCTCACATATAACGTTAAGAACACGTGTAGTGGGTTCCGAATTAACTTCTAGAGTCTTCAGGGCATAACAGTTTTCTAATTTGGACTTGAGTTTGTATGGTGGTAGTACAAGCATCCTGAATTTTAAGTTTACTCTGTAAACTGTAGCAGTAGCCTTGTCTTATACTCTTGCATATATATTCATATATAGAATTTATACATATTATTCTAAAATCATTGAGCAGCTTTTCCTTAGAGGTTTATTTGATATGGATGGTTTGGAACTTCAACCATAAGAGTAATTGTAGTTGTCTGAGAAATAGAAATGTATAAGCAACTATTAGAATGGCATGAAGAAAATTTAATTCACTTTAGATGTAATTTGAGATCTTTCTTTCTCTTTTACAAGATACTATCTTAATTCTAGAGTTTCTGCCATAGCATTTAAGTGATATAGTAAACCCAAACTTATTCATAAATATCTGTAATTTTATGTACCTAATAGTTTTGGGTACTGTATATTTTTGACACATTCCTGTATAGGAATTTGTCTCTAATGTATTTTACTCAGACAGTAGCATTAATTAAATTACAGTCTGTTGGTGTATTTGATTGATTGACTGTTACTTTTTCCTTTTTTAAAATAATAAAATTGTGGTATATATAAACATTAAAATTTTTATTTTTTGAAAAGTTATTGAAAAGCATACCTACCTAATGTACTATGCAGTATGTTAGTATTAGCATACTTCTTGTTTTGTGCCACTCTTGGTGTTAGAGCACAGGATTTTTTTTATTGATTTCTATTACTGATTTCATGTTCATAGTAATAATGGATAATATATTTGAGTAAAGTTATCCTGCTTTTATGTTAATGACTTGTTGGATCTGGTATTACATCTTAATGAAGAGCATATTATCACCACTGTTTCAGTGTATGCAGACAATTAAGCTCCTTTGTCTTTACCATTTATAACCTTCTGATTTAATAAGCTCTTGTTTTGTTTTTTAGACATTTTTGGCTCTCATAAACCAAGTGTTCCCTGCAGAAGAGGACAGTAAAAAAGATGTGGAAGATAACTGTAAGTATCAGTTTAAAAAGTAGTTCTCATCATAGAAAAGGAAACCGTTCCTTCCAAAAATATATGAGTGATTATATTACCGGGTACACTATCCTGGTTGAGAAGAAAGGTTTGATGTGAAGGTTTCTGTGAATGGGGGAGCCCCACAGTCGTAGATGCATTGGTCTCTCACACATGGACTTTGGTGAAGGAAGTCTCTTGAATGTCTTTTTAGTGTTATCTCAATTGTGTAAATACAGGGAATGGGAATAATTTATTTACTCTGAAGCCTGAACTAAGGATCTCATATTTTTTTTTTTTTTGGAAGAGTTATTTTGAACCTCATTTGCAATCAGGTGTTTTTTTTTGTGTGTGTGTGTATGTGGTTCAATAATTTGGAAGTTGAGTCAAAAGCAGCCATTTAATGCCTCTGTTTAAAAGAAAAAACATTAAAAAATACTGTGCAATAAATGCTAATTGAAAAAAAAATACTAATTGAAAAATTGATTTCAGAATAGTATGTTAAAGTACAGCATTAGTTTGACTTACAATTGCCTTAGAATTTTTTGTGGAAAAGTACTATATCCAGAGCAGTAGGCCATGTATATTCTTACATTGTTAAAATGAAGTAGTAGTCATGTTTCATTTTTTATGTGGCAAGATTTAAGTACCATGTCCAGTTGTCATGGGTTTCTTTAAAAGTATCTGACATTAAAAACCATTTAAAGAAGAGGGGTAAAGAAAGAAATGTGTTTTGTCCTTGCTGGTTTTCTCTGGAGTTCACATTTGAGCAATCCTGCAGGATTCCCATCTATGACGCAGAATACAAGAGTAATGGTGGGCATCCAGTGCCCAGATTCTGACTAAGCAGTTATGAAGCTGAGTGCCTGTGGGCAGTTTCTCTCTCTCCTTTGGGCTTCTCTGTAGAATGGGAGTAATAATGATTCTGTTTCATCCTTAGAGATGATACATATAAAATGCTTGGCACAGTGCCTGACCTCTAACAGCCTCTCAGTAAATGGTATCTGTTGTTATTAGGTGTAAGAGACTGGGGGAAAAAATATGGAGCTCCCCTCCATTCTAAAATTGCTAGAGAATTTGTCTGATGGGATAATATTTTTCTAATTAGCAGTCAGAACCACAGCAAGAGAAAGGAATGAGATTCTGCTGCATCTAAAATGAGAGAGAAAATTCTTTTCTGTTTTCACTTGCTAGGGTATTCAGAATTGGTAGCAGTCCTTTTCATGTATCAAGATAATGTTTTCTGGCATTCTGTGGTAAGCACCGTGAAGAAAGGAGAAAGGAGAAAGTAGTCCTAGTGGTGGTAGGGTAGTGAGGATGGGGAGGTGTTATTTGAGGGGTCATCTTTGAACTGACCGTAAAGGACAGGTAGATTTTTGACATAGAGATGCAGAGGCATGATATTTGAGTTTGATAAATGGTTTAGTCTGCCTGCAAGTTAGACCATATTAAAGAGAGTTATGGAAAATTATATGAAAAGGTCAGTCGAGTGTTGGTTTACTAAGGGCCTTGAATACGGGACTTGAATATGGACTTCCGTAGTTGGTGGAGACCCACTGATGATTTTTGAGGAAGAAGGAGATTTAGGGCTCTAGTGTAGTTATGGCTCGGTCAGTAAAGATTCCGCCTGCAGTGCAGGAGATGCAGGAGACCCAGGTTTGAACCCTGGGTTGCCACGATTCCCTGGAGAAGGAAGTGACAACCCACTCTAGTACTCTTGCTGGAAAATTCCATGGACAGAGGAGCCTGGCAGGCTACAGTCCTTGCAGTCACAAAGAGTCAGACACGACTAAACCGTCAGTAGTGTCGTTAGAGGAGTGCCGTGAGCAGTGAGGGTTAGAGAGGAGAGAGGCCTGTAGACAGGTGGGAGGCTGCTGTGATTACAGAAGCGGCGATGAGACCTCACTGGGCTTGGGACCGTGGAACTGGAAAGAAAGGAGAGCCATTTCAGAGACTCAGACTGTGTTCATTGTGAGTGCCCACCGTGAGGCGGGTGCCGTGCTGCGCTTTATTACACGTGTACGGACTTGGGAGTGAGTTCAGAGCAAGGAAGGGGGAGAGGAGGGTCCTCGTATCCGCTCGGCTTGCAGAACAGGTGAGTGGGGAGTGGTGGTGCTGACGATGGGAATGGAGTGAATGGGGAAGAGTGGGTTGTCTGCCTGAGTGTGTGGTGGAAACGTGAAAATGGGGCTCAGCCAGCTGTGGGCTGGGTGGTGCATCAGGTGAGAATCTAGTGTGTCGGTATTGGTAGAACAGACGTCAGAAAAACAGGATTTCTACCCTGATGCCGCTGTTCTAGTTTAAGACACATGTGATTTCTCCAGGATTCTTATTTCATCATGTCAGTGGTGAGGCACTGACTGAATGACGTGTTCCCTTCACGTTCTAAAATTTCATCTTTTTTATTTTCTGTAGAATTCTGAGCATCAGATTGAATTAGTGTTGTCCACTAATCTTTGTTGTGTCAAAAATGTGTAAAAATCAGCTCTATCTGGAACTTCGCTGGTGGTCTGGTGGCTAAGACTCCACATGCTAGTGGAGGAAGCCCAGGTTCTGCCCCTGGTCAGGGAACTAGATCCAGCAGGCCACAACTAAGCCCTGGTGCCACCATGTAAACAATAAATAAATATTTAAAAATCAGCACTATCTGAAGTAGTACTGACTTTCCACTTGAATTGTGCCTGATTCTTTAGCCAACCTTCATTACTGCATGTGTGTGCTCAGTCACTCCGCTGTGCCTGGCTGGCTCTTTGCAACCCCATGGACTGTATAGCCTGCCAGGTTCCTCTGTCCATGGGAATTCTCCAGGCAAGAGTCCTGGGCTGGGTTGCTGCAGGTTCTTTATTGACTGAGCCACCAGGAAAGCCCAGAAATACTGGAGTGGGTAGCCTATCCCTTCTCCAGGGGATCTTCCTGACCCAGGAATCGAACCGGAGTCTCCTGCATTGCAGGTCGATTCTTTGCTAGCTGAGCAACCAGGGAAGCCCTGCTAACTGTGAATTCACCTGATGCTCACTGGAGACATTCCTCTTGCTGAAAATTTGTTTAAAAATATCATTATAACTCATGTGTGTGTAAGCTGGATATATTTTAAATTGGCTTCTGGAGTTTACAGGTACCAGGGAAAAGATGGAATTAAATTTAACCTAACAGGTGAATTTTAGCTTGGGTCCGAGTGATTCAGATTAAGATGGTATTGTTTTATTTTGCTTTTGTTCTTCAGATAGCTAATGATTTACAAAATTTCCATCTCAGGTTCATTAATGTATTTAAATGAAGCCACACTACTCCATAATATCAAAGTTCGGTACAGTAAAGACAGAATTTACGTAAGTATTTTACCTGTGGTTTAAGTTTTGTGGGGATTATTATTTTACATGCTTCTGTTTGATTTTGTTGAGCTTGAAATTTTCTTACCAGGAGATCATTCTTGACCTGAGCCTGTTGAATGGAGCCTGAGCTCCATGAGGATGAGGGTTTTTTCGTAACTTACTGCTCTTAATTCCAGGGCTTAGACCAGGCATGGTGCATAGTACTTCAGAAATATTTGTGGAATGAAATAAGGAATTCAGGGCATCATCTAATATTTTTCAGCCTTAAATCTATCCAATTTGGTTATTTATAAAAGCACTAATTATTTTGAACTATGATTTTTAAATTTTTGGCATATATCTGTAGATCTGTTTAACTAATGCACTTTCCACATTGTTCTGCAAAACATTTAAGTCGGACTTAAGGCATACATAATGAAATTAAAAACTTGGATGGCAAAAAATGTCAATTAGAGTAGGAGGCAGTATGTGAGGAAATTTCAGGAACACTGAAATGCTGATCATGAGCCTGAATAGTTGCAATATTTGATTCCAAAGAGATAGCTTTCCTTAAAAGCCCAGGATATTTAAAAATGAAAGACAGTGCTTCTAATGTATTAAATAGGGTTTTCACCAAAGCATTCAGATGAATGCTTAAATGGTATGTTTTAATTATCATGATTCACTGGGCATGTATGAGGTTTTATTCGAGTTATAGGTTCCTTTGTTGGCTGGAGATAAATTACCCTGCTGTAGCTCTCCTGTTATAAAGATGGGACTCTTCATTATTTTTGAAAGAAGAAAACACATGGCTTCTTTGACACTTCCTAGATCAAATGACATTCTTAATATTTTATATCACTATCAGTTTGCCTAATTGTACTTACTTAATTCTGACTAAATTACCTTTAGTCTTTGCCATCTGTCCAAGTAGTGACAGCTGGGAAGTAGAACTAATCTATTTAGTCTTTTCCAAAAGAGTTTATTCTCACTTATACACAGTATTAAGTCTTTCCTTTTCTCTCTGCTTTTTTTCCCCAAAGTCAACTAAATAGTATATTTAGGTTACTATAGATATGGCTATTCTTATTTAGAAATATATTTGGAAGCAAAATTCATTTAATCAGCAGACTAATGTTGAGTATCTAATATGTGCTAAATGTTTTAGGTACTAAAATAATAACGTTTTTAGGTAGAACGCTTTACCGCCTGAGCTACCGGAGAAGCCTAATAACATTTTAAAAATTTGTTTGTTAAAGCAGTTTAACTTGTAACAGGTCAGTAAAAGTTGATTTAGCTAAAACCATCTTTCAGGTAGAACTGGCCACTATTTTTTCTTTACATGTCTACATCACTTGGTGGTAGTGGATCAGTTTTACTTACCTGAGCAAATTTTAATTGTTTTAATATCTTTTTCTTGAACTTTACACGTTTTAAATTACCTTTACAGAATCATGTTACTCAACAACAAAAAAAAACACTGAGCTAGTTTGTTTTTATTTGGGATGATTATACATAAACTTCTCACCCTGGAATTTTCATTGGCCCGTTAATGTTTCCTATGCAATGGTGATGTTCCACCTGCTGACTGTGGCCACTGATAACTGAAGGTTTACATGCAGAATTCATTGTACTTTCAAAAAAAGATTAGCACTGCATTTGATTAACAAGTCTCTGCTGAATCACATACCTGATAGAAATAATTACCTGCTTGTGAAATTTTAAGTTTTTGCTCCTCACGTATGTGTCTGCATCACTCTGGAGAATTTTAAGGTGATTTCTATTTGTTCTGGCCGCCTTTTCCTAAGATGTGTATGCAGTTGGGTGTACAACCTCTGTTAGACAGTGGCTGTTTAGCATCATCAGCTCTTGTTTGGAAAACCAGTGTTTTCCAAGTTCATGAAAGCCATACATAACTGGTGGGTTTTTGCCTAGCCAGTTATGCCTTTTAGTTATAAAACCATTAAATAGCAGCAACATACAAACAGAATGCTGTAAGAGAGGGAAGCAGTTCACAATAGTTTGAGTTGGGTTTTTTTATACTTCTCACTGACCAGAATTGCCACCTTTCTCCCTTAGACATTTAACATTTTCCTTGGTTACTGAAGTCTCTATTACTTTCCTTTTGTTTCACATGGAAAGATTATTAACTGGAATTTATTTTTCACCCCACCCCAGGAAACAGGTTTGAGAGCATTTGCTGAATTTTACATTAGCAGGCTGAGAGTTTGGGGTTTCTGCATCATTTCCCTTCCACAGCTAGAAGCAGAAGAGAAAAAAATATGGTCCTGTATGCCCTAGTTTGGTCTGCAAACCACAACCAATTGCTAAACCACAAGTCTCTTTCTACCCACAAAGAATTTTATAAATCCTATTGGTGGCTTTTTTTTTTTTTTTTTTTTTTGGTCTTTTGAAGCCACGGTGAAATTTCAGATTTGAAAGCAGGCTTCTTCATTGCTCATCAAACATTTAGCCCATCAGTATTCTAGGCAATAGTTAAGCATATGGTGTTTTGCAAAAGTCTGGGACCAAATGGTCACTGCAGAGCTAAATCAGTCCTAAGGTTTTCAGTGATGGGCATAGGCCTCGAGGGTTCCGTGGGCCATGTTACACTCTTCAGTAGCTGTGTTATACTCTTCAGTGAAGAAAGTGGTCTAGACAGGAAATACAAATAAGCAACATGCAGGCTGTAGGTATAGAGCAGATGTTGTAAGTGGAGACAGCAGAAGATGTCTCAGAGGGGTAGAGGCTCAGCTCTGCCCATGCGGATCTGGTGGTGGTGTCTTGAATCTGGGAGGGCGGGTGAAAGGAGTGTGTTTCCTTTGATGCAAAGGGAGGTCAAGAGAGGCGATTTTGATTTTGGGTGTGGCGAGTTTTAGATGCCTATGGGATAAGAAGATGTAAGTATTTATTAAGTGTTGAAGAAATATGGGTCCAGTAGAGATCAGGGAATGTTTAGGGCTAGAAATGCAGATTTGGGAGTTCTAGTTACAGAGAGAACTGGGGGTGTCTACTTGCTGTATGTTCTTTCTTTTATGAGCTTTGTTTGATTTTAAATGAAAATAATAATTGGAAAATTTAATGTTTACGCTTTTCCCACTTAGACCTATGTGGCCAACATTCTGATTGCAGTGAACCCATACTTTGACATACCTAAAATCTATTCTTCAGATACAATAAAGTCGTACCAAGGAAAATCCCTTGGGACGATGCCACCTCATGTGTTTGCAATTGGTAAGTAATTTAAGTATATCTTAATTTTTATTTCAGTTGTACAGACTCATTCAGTTTTTCTTTTGGATTAGTAAAAGATGCCATGAACCGAATGTCTGAAGGCCTGTGTGCACGTGAACCTGTCACTGTGTTAGGAGCGTGTCTCTCACACAGGGTGGGGAAGAATACTTTTGCTGCCGACTCATGGGGTGGTTGTGCCTCATTACCTTTGTTAAATGCCTGTGTTCTCTTAAGTGTGTCCATCCAGTTGAAAGTAGGTCATCATAAATGTGACCTAAGGTTTTCTTTTGACTCCATCTTTAAAGTGTCCCCCTTCTGCAACTAAGAAGGAGGCCCAGACCATTTGCTCTTTTACTTGTGAACGTTTTACCTCTGCTGGAAGGGGGATGTGAGAACAGACATCTTTTATCCCTCATCAGGGCATTTTAAATTGTAAAGGATGGACAGTGACACATGTTTCATATCTCTGGAGAATCTGCGTGGAAGGGCAGCAGCATCTGTCTTTGCCTTTCTAGAGCACTCTCTCTCATCTTGAAGGCCTTAGCTCTGAAAAGCAGAGATAGAGTTGCTTGAGAGGCATCCCCCAATAGCTGGTGGCTGCAAGTACAGAGATGTTAGCTAAGCCTTGGAATTCAGACGTAACTGAATTAAATAGTGACAAGTTTTGGTTCAGGTTTTTAGCATAGTTCGTGTCTCTTTGTACCTGTGTTTTGGCTTAACTGGGCTTCACCTCCAGATTTGACTGAACATGTTCTGGGTGCTGCTAGGCAGAGTAAATATGTGCACCAAGTCCAGTGCAACTAGTTCTATGATGCTCTGATGGGCATCTGTATGTGTTCTATCAGCTGGCGAAATAGTGAGCAAGTTCATCACTAGACAGAAGTTACATGTTTAAAATGTAGTTGCTTACTACTAAAAAATTGTTTAGAGCAATTCCACAAAATTGGGTGAAACAGATTACTGATGAATTGGTCAAAGGGATATGAGCACTCTTGCATTAGTTTGCATTGCGTCCTTTGAGAAAAAGCCATCTGTAGAACCTTCTTCACTGGTATGTATAGCACCTGCCTGAGGTGAGAAATAGCTGCCTTATAGGGCTCAACTTGTCAGGACCTCATTTTTAATTAAATTTAATTTAGTCCACTTTAAGAGAATGAAATTGTGCTCATCTTGTCTGTGAAGTCCAAAAGATATAGCTTAAATTGTTGGAGGATAATGAAGATAGTTAAAAATTGTATATATAAATAACGGCAGATCTGAAAAATTGACAGCAGTTAATTTTGCCTATTTTTGAAATGTTGGTAAATTCTACAAGATGTTTACGTTTAATGGTAGAATTGCAGGAGGAAAAAAAACACCACAGATCTGTTGTGCAGTTGTGGTTTTTTTTTTTTTTTTCTGCAGCAGAATTTTGGCTGCCAGATTTCTTAATTGGTAGCTTGTTACTTTTTGCTTAATTCTCTGAGGATATCATTAGTTATGTATAGTGAGCATTTTTCATCTCTCTGCAAATATGTTCTGGTATTAGGAAAAGCTGAGCCACTGCTCATAATATGAAGACATTCTAGTGCAAACATAAGAGTTGTTTATTTGGATTTCACATCACTTAGCCATCAGGATAATTATAGAGAACATTTAAAGTATATACTTAATAAAGATGTTTTGAATACTTTTAAATGATTTTATTTAAAAATTTTGGTAGCTGTAAACACACATTTATAATTTCTTTCAGAACAAGTGCTTTTTGTTAGTAAATGGACTTTCTATCATTTGGAAATTTTTATTTAATACTTTGTTCATCACTAATAGTGTATTGTTATTTTTACTCCAGCTGATAAGGCTTTTCGAGACATGAAGGTGCTCAAGATGAGTCAGTCCATCATTGTATCTGGAGAATCAGGAGCTGGCAAAACAGAAAATACAAAATTTGTTCTGAGGTGAGGAATATTTAGCTGACCTAAAATGTTCTGAACAAGTTGATTATTTTTTAGTTGTGGTAAAAAAAATATACAACATAAAATTTACCATTTTAACCATTTCTAAGTGTACAGTTCAGTAGTGCTAAGTATATTCACATTGTCGTTCAGCCAATCTCCAGAACTTTTCATCTTGCAAACTAAAATCCTATAACCATTAAACAACTCTGCGTTCCCCTCCTGACCGACCCAATTGCCAGGCAACCACTGTTCTTACGTCCTGCCTTTTTGATTTTGACTACTCTGGACACCTCATGTAGGTGAAATATACAACTTTTTGTTTTTCTGTGACTGGCTTTCCCGCATTAGCATGATGTCCTCAGAATTGGTCCATGTTGAGGCGTGTGTCAGAGTTTTCCTCATGTTTAAGGAGTAGTATTCTGTCATGTTTGTGTATCACATCTTGTTTATCCATTCACTCATCAGCAGGCACTGGGGTTGCTTCCATCTCTTGAGTCTTGTGAATAGTGTTGCCTTGAACATGATATGAACAAAGAGTTACAAAGATCTCCTTGAGATTTGACCAGGTTGACCTTGAATACTTTTGCATGCTTTATGACATAGTTTGAAATGGTGGGCTCTGCTTCTGTTACAAAAACAGACACCTTATGTGGAAGCTAAGCTGGGGAGTTTTGAAATCTCCCTCTGACATGTTATCCTCAGGAGGATCCTAGAGGAGACCAGTGCTGGTTAGGCAAAGGGAAACCTCCAACCATTCCTTCAGAATCCAACCATTACATTCTGTTTTCAATATTCCTGCAATTAGAGTGGTCAGAATAATTTTTTACCTTAAGTTTGTGATGGCTCACCTTCTTGTTTCTACCTCCCCACAACCTTTCTCCCAGCGTCAAAGATAAATATTTCTATGTGTAATGAATATCATATTTGAGACACAATAGTTGGTTAAAATCAGAATGTTCCCAAAAAGTTCTAAAAAAAATAATGCTGATTTAGATGTCAAAGACCATCCAGATAGGATTTTAAATATCAGAAAAGCTATAAGAGAATAGTGAAAGAAAGAAACTGAAAGTGAAGTCGCTGAGTCGTGTCCGACTCTTTGCGACCCTGTGGACTGTAGCCTACCTCCGTTCATGGGATTCTCCAGGCAAGGATACTGGAGTGCGTTGCCATTTCCTTCTCCAGGGGATCTTCCCGACCCAGGGTTCGAACCCGGGTCTCCCTCATTACAGACAGACGTTTTATCATCTGAACCACCAGGGAAGCCCTAATAGAATAGTAGGTACATTTAAACACAAATTTGTAATATTTATATGAGCCGTTCCAATATATGATTCAGGTTTCAATGTTAGATGTGTTAAATAATATTAAAATTAGAAATATAGGCTGCCAGTTCAAGATGGCAGTATAGAAGAACATACACTCATCTCCTCCTGAAAAAGCTCCAAATTTGAAACTAGCTGTTGAAAAACCATCAACAGGCAGAAGGACACTGGAACCCACTGAAAAAGGTACCCTATGTCCAAAGACAAGAAGCCACAGTGAGACAGTGGGAGGGGCACAATTGCAAGAAAATAAAATCCCATTCCTGCCAGGTAGGTGACCCACAAGCTGGAGAAAAATAATACAGAAGAAGTTCTCCCACTGTTGTGAAAGTTCTCAACCCCAGCCTGGGGACCTGACAAAGAGACTGGGAATCCCCAGGGAATCTGACCTTGAAGGCCAGCGGGATTTGCTTATAGGATTTCCATGGGACTGTGGGAAACAGACTCCAGTCTTGGAGTGCACAGTCTTGCATGCACCAGGACCCAGAGGAGAGGAGCAGCGACCCCAGGGGAGATTGAACCAAAACTACCTGCTAGTGTTGGAGGCTCTCCTGTGGGGGTGTCAGTCGGCAGGGGCTCATCACAGAATCAGGAGCATTGACAGCCGCAGTCCTGGAAGGTCCCCCATGGCATAAGCCCTCTTAGAGGTTGCCATTAACCCTGCTGTAGAGTCTAGACCCCAGGGCTGGGTCTCCTTAGGCCAAACAACTATCAGGGAGGGGATGTAACTCCGCCCATCAGCAGATAAGTGGATTAAAGCTTTACTGAGCAAGGCCCTGCCCATCAGAGCAGTCAGTTCCGTCAGTTCAGTCGCTCAGTTGTGTCTGACTCTTTGCGATCCCATGAATCGCAGCACGCCAGCCCTCCCTGTCCATCACCAGCTCCTAGAGTTTACCCAAACTCATGCCCATCGAGTTGGTGATGCCATCTAGCCATCTCATCCTCTGTCGTCCCCTTCTCCTCCTGCCCCCAATCCCTCCCAGCATCAGGGTCTTTTCCAATAAGTCAACTCTTCGCATGAGGTGGCCAAAGTATTGGAGTTTCAGCTTCAGCAGCAGTCCTGCCAATGAACACCCAGGACTGATCTCCCCTAGGATGGACTGGTTGGACCTCCTTGCAGTCCAAGGGACTCTCAAGAGTCTTCTCCAACACCACAGTTTAAAAGCATCAATTTTTTGGTGCTCAGCTTTCTTAATAGTCCAACTCTCACATCCATACATGACCACTGGAAAAACCATAGCCTTGACTAGACGGACCTTTGTTGGCAAAGTAATGTCTTTGCTTTTTAATATGCTATCTAGGTTTGTCATAACTTTCCTTCCAAGGAGTAAGCGTCTTTTAGCAAGACCCAGCTTTTCCCATCACCATTCCCTCCAATCAGGAGGCTTACACAAGCCTCTGAGCTTCCTCCATCAGAGGACAGACAGAAGAAGCAAGAACAACCACAGTCACACAGCAGCTAAAACAAAGACCACATTACAGGATGAAAAAGCAGAAAGTTGTGTTCTGGATGAAGAGACAGGATAAAAACCCAGAAAAACAACTAAATGAAGTAGAGATAGGCAATCTTCTAGAAAAAGAATTCAGAATAATGATAGTGAAGATGATCCAGGATCTTGGAAAAACAGTGGAGAAGATGGAAGAAATGTTTTACTAAAGACCTAGAAGAACAAACAAACAAATAAATAATACACTAGAAGGAATCATAACAGAATAGCTGAGACAGAAGAATGGATAAATGACCTAGAAGACAGAATGATGGAAGTCACTGCCAGAAAATAGAAGGTAGAAAAAAGAATGAAAAGAAAGACTGCCTAAGAGACCTCTGGGACAACCTTAAAGACACCAACATTCACATCATAGGGGTCCCAGAAGGAGAAGAGAGAAAGGACCTGGGAAAATACTTGAAGACCTAATAGCTGAAAATTTCCCCAACATGGAAAAGCAAATAGTCAACCAAGTCCAGAAACACAAAGAGTCCCAGGTAGGATAAACACATAGTAATCAAACTGATAAAAATTAAAGACAAAGATAGAATATTAAAAGCACCAAGAGAAAAATAGCAAATAGCATACAAGGGAACTCCCATCAGGCTATATCAGTTGATTTCTCAACAGAAACTCTAGAAGTCAGAAGGGAATGGCACGATACGTTTAAAGTGATGAAGGGAAGAACCTACAACCAAGAATACTCTACCCAGCAAGACTCTCCTTCAGATTTGATGGAGAAATCAAAAGCTTTCCAGACCAGCAAAAGTTAAGAGAATTCAGCACCACCAAACAAGCTTTACCACAGTGCTAAAGGAACTTCTCTAGGCAGGAAACACAAGCTAGGAAAAGACCTACAGAAAATAAACCATGAACAATTAAGAAAATGGTAATAGGATTGTAGATACTGATAATTACCTTAAATGTAGATAGATTAAGTGCACCAAGCAAAAGACATAGGCTGGCTGGGCAGATGGAAACATGTGCATGTGTGCACTTCCGCCTAGCACACCAGTCTGCTGGACTCCCCCAAAGTGTATATACTTACTTTGTAATGTTAGGTTAATTATGCTCCCATTATGACTTGCAATTATAATTTTTTTTTTTTTTTGGTCTGGCTGTTGATTGTGAAAACTGATAAACATCTTTTACTATTGCAATTACGTAACTATTACTCACTCAGTACTATTTGTATTATGATTGGTCAACAGAAAAATAATAGAACTCTGTATCACCAGAACTATGATCTAATGGAAAAACCTGTAATCACTTTTTAAAATCCAGATACATAGCAGAATTATCTTGGAATTTTTTGAAAAATATGAATGCCTAGATATTGCCTCTTTTTTCTCCAGAGCCCCAGATATGTTTCTAATAAGCAGCCACATTTAAAAACAACTGTATTATATGATGATATATTATTTTTATCTAGTTCATTTCACTTTTTCCATTACATATTCAGTGCTCCCATTTCATTTAGTTTATGTGTTCCAGTTTTCCACCTCTTCTTTTTCTTTTGATGTTATTTCTCAAGTCTTTAGCAAGTGGAGTAGAGAAGCTTTTATATAAATATGTATATTAGTAATATATATGTTTCAGAAAATTTATGAATTTTTACCTAAAATATTTATGATAATTTGATTCCTCTTGTTTGACTTAGTATGACTAGAATGCTAGATTTCTAATGGAAAAAATAGATATGCAACAAGCAACAAAGGTTTACTGTATAGCAAAAGGAACTCTAGTCAATATGTTGTAATAACCTATAATGGAAAATAATTTCAAAAATAACATGTATATATGTATAACTGAATTACCTTGCTATACACTGGAAACATTGTAAATTAACTGTACTTCAATAAAATGTATAAAGAAAAAAATTTTTTAAAGCAATATAATACATGCAATATCATTGTCATCTAACATTTTTTTTTTATCCTGTATTTTAAACAGATATCTGACTGAATCCTATGGAACCGGTCAAGATATTGATGATAGAATTGTTGAAGGTGATAGAACTTTTTAAATTCTTATTTTTTATTGTTAGATATGGACTGAAATTGACTTAGAAGAATCCTCTATGTGCTCTGGAATGTTCTCACAGAGATCCAGAAGACTCCAATTTCTTACAAATCTTTGCTGCTTTGTTATCTTGTCATTTACTTAATGTCTGTTGTTTTTCCCCTGACCCCATGTGCACACTAAGAGGGCAGAGATTTTACAGATTCCAAATCCCTGGAATAGTACCTAATGCATGGCATGTGCATCATCATTATGGAGCTATGAATGAGTGAAAGGAATACAGGAAGCCCTCTGGCCTCCTGTGCATTTTGTTGACCTTGTTTTAGTAAAGGAGAAAAGGAGAGGGTTATTTGGAATTGAGGTGCCGGGGGAAGTCATTTTAACAAAAATGTACCCTTGGAAGGCAAGAGTCTGTACACTGATTTCCTTAAGCAGTCAGTGTCTGTACACCCCTTAGACACCCCATGCCCTGTTTGGACACTGCTGGTCCAGGCAGGTCTGCGGTGGCCTCCCACAACAGGTTCCTCTCTGGTCTCCCCTCCTATAATCTACTCTCTCTGTGGAAGCTGGAATGGTCTGTTTTGCTCTAAGCTCTTTATTGGCTTCATATGTCTCTCAGGGTTAAACCTACCTTGCTCTTTGTGGCCAGGTACCTGCCTCTTCTGGTCTGATTGAGTCATTTTCCTGTGAATCCTCATGCCTTAGTCACACTGGTCTCCTTGTAGTCCTCTGAGGCGTTTCAGGCCTCCCTGACACCTCCCTCACCACTTCTTCCTACCGGACACTCAGTATTTAATAACGATGGTGGTATTGACATGTGTGGGATGTACTAGGTGTTGTCTGATTTGCTTAAAATGGGTTACCTAACTTAACCTCTTCACAGAATACGAGGTAGGTGTTTTGTCCCTGCTCCACAGATGAGAAACTAAGGTAAAAAGAGTCTAAATAACTTTCTGAAGAGTAAATAGCTCATCACTTGTGGAGAAGGGACACATAGACAGACGTCTTAATTGCATTATCTACTAAGTGCTCTTTTTTAATACTCCTGACATTAAAAAAAAAAAAATTCAGTTGAATGAAGATTTGTCAGGAGCCTTCATGTATTTTCTGGAGAAGGAAATGGCAGCCCACTCCAGTACTCTTGTCTGGAAAATCCCATGGACGGAGGAGTGCGGTAGGCCCATGGGGTTGCAAAGAGTTGGACATGACTGAGCAACTTCCCTTCCCTTCATATATTTTGACAGATCATGGCAGGCAAAAGTTACATACACGTTTTTACATAATTGTAAAACATGTATGTACATGAATATAAATTCTACTCTAATAAACATTTTTAAAGTTTACATCAATAAGATTTTTCATATTTCTTGATATAAATAATTTTCTAATTTTATGTACAGTTCTCACTGATGTATGGTGGCACACCAAGGTATAATCACAGTAAAGTGCCTTTAGTGAGAGAATTGTCGTTTAAAATTGAATGAGTAAATAAAGTAGGGATTAATAAAATACTGATTAATATTCTGACTTGATTATGTGAGTCGCAGATTCACTTTGGTATTGGATGTAAGCCTAGTTTCTTTCAGGAGAACAGTCTGTGTGATGTGTAACAGGCTGTAGTTGAGGACCAATAGAAAGGGTTATTCCAAATTTTTCTCCAGCCCCTTACTGGAGGATAGTGCATGTTAACTGGCAGGACCATAGAAATCTTGAGGTGACATATACATGCTAACATTTCCTTCAGTTTTAGTACTTTCTTACTTATTTTAGCAAGTGAAGCAACCTGCGAGTGATCTTTAAATGGATTTGGAGACTAGTTAAGCTTTCTACTGTGGACAGACAAAGAGAAATGGACTTTAGACTCTTTCATAAGAAATATTCTAGCAATAAACATATGAAGCAGTTTATGAGGTTGTTGAAGGAATGTGTAAGAGTGGCACTAATCTGGTATAATTATAGTTGAGACTATGGTGAGTATAAAACTCTAGTAACTCTCTCAATAATGTGGAGTGTTTGGTGGGCGGGGAAGAGACATTATAAAATGAAGACAATTAAAATTTTACATTTGTTCCTTGGGGTTTCAGAAACTAATGTTCTGAGAACCTTTTGTACACAGTTCTATAAACTGAATTTGTTAGGTTTTGTTGGATGTGCATGTAAAAATGTTAAATCTGGAGGTTATGTTAATATATATATTTAAAAGTAGGTCAACTAATAACATTTTGCCTGTATTTTATCATAGGAGATTTGCTGTTTTCTGCTCATGTAGGGCTGATGTGGAAACTATAAAAATATTTAGTGATTTTTAAAGTTGAGTTATAAATTTTGTAATTTAATGACTTTTGAAAATTTAGTCTTTGCCATAACACTTACATTTTCTTTTGATAAATTTTGAATAAATTTTCCATCTCTTGTACTTTAATAGGACCTGACACATAGGGGGAGTCAAGAAATATTTGTGGGATTTGACATTACAAGTGAATTCATTCGTGTTAGTTTTGTGAGAGTATTTTTCTAGTTATATGTATTTATTAATAAATGGAAACACTATGTTGCTTTGTAATTTTCCTTCATATTAATTTTTTATGGCATATTTTCATTTCTTTTTTAATAGCTAACCCACTCTTAGAAGCTTTTGGAAATGCAAAAACTGTCCGCAACAATAATAGCAGTCGATTTGGGAAATTCGTAGAAATACATTTCAATGAAAAGGTAAGTGAGAGTGAGTTTTGGGTTAATATATTTGGGAAGTGTTTTTAGAAAAAGCAAAAGGTCTTGATAGAATTGGTAGTGTACTTGAACTCATGGCAAATATATTTAAATTTTTCTCTTACTATTAGATATTTGGGAGAATATATATGTTCACTGTGATCACTGTAAATTCTAAAGCTTATGTTTATTAATAGTTATCTATTTTCCCCCTTTATTTGATAAATATTGCAACCTCTTTGATAGACAAATGGTTATTAGGAAAGATAGTTTAACATTGGTAGGTTATACTTTAAGACTTCAGATGCAAAACCGTAATTTCTCTCTGTTTTGTTTTCTAGAGTTCAGTTGTTGGAGGATTTGTTTCACATTATCTTCTAGAGAAATCTAGGATCTGTGTTCAAGGCAAAGAGGAAAGGAATTATCATATCTTTTATAGGTTGTGTGCTGGTGCTTCTGAAGATATTAGGGAAAGACTTCATCTGAGCTCTCCAGATAATTTTCGGGTAGGTTGAATGAAAAGAAATTTCATAAAGTTTTTGCAAATTGAATTATCTTCTATTCTAAAGCGTATTTCAGTGGATTTTGATGTCTAGCTGCATATAACTTACATTAAGTTCAGTGTATTGTGATAGAATGACTTCTGTAATAAGTGGATCTATATGGAGGTTTATTGCTTAGTTTATAACACAGTATGAGAAGATACATAATGGGATAGGTAAAAGGAAAGATACTAAACTAATTGTATCAATTGTTTATCAATTTATCTTCAGTAAGTAGTTTATAATAGTTCTGTAATGCTAGCTTTACAGTTACCTTTGACTTACTTACAAAAAAAAGTTTGACCACTAAATTAATATTAATAAAAGATCCCTACTTGTCTTCCTTAATTCATTTCAACAAATATTTATTGCTTACCCTTTGGGTACCAGGATTGTGACATAGTTAAAAAGATAAATGAGACACAGTTCGTGCTTCTGTGCAATTTAGAAACTGGTGGAAAACATGTACACAATTTTGACTGATATGTTGAATGAGTAAGAGAGATGCATAGGAAGCTGATAATTTTGGAGAAAACCTTACTGGAACAATTGATGCTTGATCAGAATCCTGAGGGGTTTTCAGGTGTTAACTAGAGGCAGAAACTTGCAAAGGGTATTCCTGGTAGATGGAAAGAGATAAACAAAGAAAGGCAGGAAGTAGCTTAAAGCCAAGGACAGGAAGGACAGGACAGGAAGAACGGGAGTTGAAGCTAGAGAGTTTGGTCTTTTTTCTGTAGTTAGTAAGGAGTGGTTGAAGGGAGTTAAGCGGGGTGGGGTGGGGTGGTGGAGGAGGGGATGGATAGAAATTGCAACCGTGGGTAAGTGGGTTGGGAGCCTGTAGGTGACATAGCAGTTACTCTGTGCCTGAATTTGGTTTAGCGATAGCAGGGTTACTGAGGAGGGGGTGTGTGAAACAGGAGGTAAAAGTGACCTGACTTGGAGACTGAATTAGGTAAGGAGGAGGAGGAGTCTGAAATTATTTTCCAGGATTTCATTAGGGTAACTGGGTGGCTGTAAATACCATGTTGGGGCCAGATGGAAGATTTGTGGTGTGTAGGATGCGTCCAGTTTTGGAGCCTGTGGATTATCTAAGTGGAGCTGTTCAGAAGACTGTTGGGTGGGCTAAGATCAGGTCAGAGCTGAGGGGACAGGTTTGCAAGATGTCAGTACGCTGATGAACTGTGAGAGTGAGGAGGTGAGATTGTGCAGAGAGATTGCATAACATATAACAGCATGTGCCAGGATCCAAACTCTAGAGGTAAAGAGGATGAGTAGACAAGCTGTCTTAAGAAAGGGAGCACAAGTGGAGTTGCGAGAGAAGCATGAGGAAGTCAGGAATGCCAAGGATCGCAAGTCAGTGTTCAGTTTCGGGAAGTGGCGACTGGGAGTGGTAGGTGTAATTTACAAGTTCTCAGCTGGAAAATGGCATCCCTATTTGGGACGTGGGAATCGTGGGGTGCAAATCGGAAGAGCAGTCGATGTAAAGTTCTCCAGGTGATTCTCATAGTCCTTTTTGGCCCGTGGTCCTACTTGAGAAGCATGACACACATTTATCTTTAATTATTGTTCTGTGTGTGTGTTTGCAACCTGGCTTCTCTTTATTACTTCAGTCAATTTCTTTTAATGTATATTTGGACATTTAAAAACTCTGTTGTTTTAAAATGCTTTATAACTGCATCTGTGTATGTAGTTCTGCAATGTTTAACCTTCTCTGGGGGGGGTGGTGGTTTAGTCGCTAAGTCATGTCCGACTCTTGTGACCCCACGAACTGTAGCCCGCCTGGCTTCCCTGACCATGGGGTTCTCCAGGCAGGAATACTGGAGTGGGTTGCCATTTCCTTCTCCAGGGGATCTTCCGACCCAGGAATTGAACCCAGGTCTCCTGCATTGCTGGCAGATCCTTCACTGACTGAGCTATGAGGGAAGCCTTTACAGTATCTTCATGACAGTAGAAGAGGCGTTTTTCTACAGTGATTTTTAGAAAAGGACTATAACATGGAATTTAATAATGTTGATATGGCTTTGTCAACACTGAGTTAAGGATAAAGTGACATGACTGTTGTCTTAACATAGTGTTTCTTTCTACTTGGGGGCTTGGGAATGTAGTTTCTTTGTCTCAGAATGTAGAGTCTTTCCTGTCACAAGGACACCCATCCTAAGAGGGCAGCCTCTGAAATGCTTTATCAGGTCAGAGTTTCCTGTCCCTGTGGCGTGACCTACGGGCATGATTTCCTCTTACAAGGGAGTCCTTTTGGTGGTAAGAGGAAAACTAGAGGAACAGCATTAGGTTTTACCTAAAAACATCTGCTGTCTTGGATATTCCTCTCTGGCAGGCAGGCATGCACCTCTGTGTTCCTTCCCCCAAACTATTCTGCCTTAGAGTGACTTCGAGTCTTGGTCATTTCATCAAGTTTTTCTCTGGTTTAGTTTAGGCCTCCAGTAATAACTCGGGGATAAAGTTGTAAAAACAAAGGAGAAACTGCAGCAGGGTGAACACTCCCCCCACCCCGCCCCCAGATTTTTTCATCACTGCTGTATACAAATTAGTGACTCTATCCAAATTAGCATATAAAGAATTATAGAGTTTACGTCTGTTCAGAAACATCCATATTAACTACACATGTATTTTAGAAAATAAAAGGTTAAAAATGCTTGTATTATTCAAAATTTTGAAATATTTTTGCACATGTTCCATGGAAGTATTCATTATAGTCATGCAAGGATCTTTGAATATAAATAAGACTTGGATAGAATGAGAATGGGTGACTAGAATAGTTACAGTTTCTAGTTAAAGAAAAGAAGAAACAAGTATTGTTCTTAGGTTTTATTATTAAGTCCATCTGTCTAGAAACCTAGTATTTGATAAAAACAGTTGCAGTAGGTAGATAAAACTCTTGCTATCAAAGAAAACATTTGTTTTGGGTCCATATAGTTAAGCTACTATTATCCTACTAAATAAAAGAGCTCTGTTTTGAAAGTCAGTTGAAATTGCTTACCAGTATTATCCCTTTTATTTTATTCTTTCCCTCAAGATTTTAGTTTGCAAAGAAAAATTCGTTGGATATTATTTTCTGGTTTTAACTGTATTTTAATATTTCACTATAATGGGGGGGAAATAAATCCATTGATTATCTTCAGTATTAATATATACCTAAATCATTCAATTTACTGTGAATTTTTTCTTGATATCTGTATAATTTAATCTTGGAATTCATGTCTTTGGAGAGTAGAATCCTAGTGACCTGATTTAAGAAAAGCTGAGATGTTTAAAAGATTTTCTCATCCTGTTCCCTATGCACTTCCTTCCTGAACAACCCCCACCTATTAAATGTGGGTAATAGATTCTGCTCAAGACCAGTAGATTATTTTCTTTTCAGTTGCTTCCCTTGTTCTGTGTTTTCAAAGCACTTAGTCTTAAAAAACTTCTGGGCAGGGAAGTAAATTATTGAGATAAAAGCTGAAATTGTTATTTGAATACCTGTGAAGGTTCATAAAGCAAATGTAATTGATGTACAGTTAGTGTTAACTGTCAGTCACTATGAAAGGCATGTTTTGAAGGACTGATTGTAAAAACCAGAAATTAATAAACTCAAAAATATTATTTGTTAATGATTCAGAATTTAAAATATTACTTAAAATATTCAACCACAGTGTGGGTCCTTGTTTGAGACTTTTTGCATATTTAGGTCATATCTTGTAAAGGTTTAAAATTGCTCCCTTTTAAAAGTAGGAAAGCTTTATGGTACTGTTTTTTTCTGTTAATCATTTAATTCAACTTTCAGATTAAGAGTTCACCATCCCTGGTTTGATTAATAGAAGTAAAGTGTTTATGATATACAGAAGTATTGATTTTAATTGAAAGATTAAATGATACTCAGGTTGTGTTTAGAAATGGTTCACACTGTTGGATAGATTGTGTTTTCCTTTGTGTTATTTTCCTGTGGATCATGTTGTTAATTATATTTTAAATTTCTTTGTCATAGTATTTAAACCGAGGCTGCACTAGATACTTTGCTAACAAAGAAACTGACAAACAGATTTTACAGAACCGAAAAACTCCTGAGGTAAAGTAGACCTTAAAAACAGATTATAATCTTTAATGCGAAAAAATTGTGCTGAAAGATACATTCTGTTTTTATTTTGAAATCCAAGTAAGATTTCTTACTTTTAGGCTTATGCGTAAAAGACCCAACAGTCATTCACGCCTCACTTTATTCCTCTTTTGCTATCTCTAGAAGCTGCAGGCTCTTGGTGGGGACCTCAGGGCACTTTTTTTCTTGTTATTTTCCAAATGTGAAGATATCAAACTGCCTAAAAATCATCCTTTGCTAACAGTTTTGAAACTTACTCTCATATTAACCATTAGGATTAAATATAAAATATAATTTATTATCTGTGTCAAGGCTGAAATAAGCTTTGATGTACACAAAGAGTGAGCGTTGTTGTGAACTAATTATGTGTTATTGTGATATTTCTCTTTAAAACAGCATGTTTCTGTAATTATTATGAAAAGCTTAGTTTTATGTGTAACTTTTACAAATTATTGTATTTCTAGGATTAATTGGATATAATTATACCATTAAGTATTACTTTAAAAGCATAAAATCCTTAATGTAAAAATCTACAACCTTTATAAATTCTGAGATGCAATGTGTAGGTGGTAAGTGGTATGAAGGTGTAGCTACTCAAGTAGCTTAAATTATGAAATACTAAGTCAGGATTAATTATAGGGACTAGTTCATATTGTCTTTATTAATTTTTTAAAAAGATTTGTATTGAGTGTTTAATTGAACAAAGTTTTATTATATTCACTTTTTAATGTCTCTGCATTTGAGTGAGTTAGATGTTTTTGACTGCTTTCAAGATAGTGAGAATTATATCTTTAATATATTCATAGAAAGGAACAGAAAACAAAAATCCCCATTATTTTGAATTCTAAGCAGATGAGTCTGCAGTTAATGTTTGTTTAAATTGATATTTTATTTATCATTTTAGATACAGATGTCTGAATTATAAATTGTAAACATCCATAGTTGAGACTTTAAGAAATGACATTACAGTATTCTCTTTTGTTATGATGATCTATATTTTTACAAGGTACCATTGAAATACAGAAATTGTATTATTTTCACTAAGATAACTGGGACATTCCCTGGTGGAATATTGCCGCTATCCTAAAGGAAAAAACACATACATATATACATTTAATCTTTTGGTGTGGGAAAGACTGAGTGGAGAGGAAAGAAGAATGTTATTTTTACTTTCCAAAGAGTATTGTACTCTTTGTACTCTCCTAAGAAGAAAATGTTCACTTTCTGATTCTAGAGTCACCATACTTTGTTAAGAATCTTATTCACATTATTGAGTTTATATATAAAAATACGTGACTAATGGATTTAATATGTTTAAATTGCTTTTTATTGTTTTCTGTATCAGGAGGATGAGGTGATCATTTTGACTATTCAGAATTCTTTGCCTAGTTCCATTGGCGTGTTTTTAAGCTGTGTGTAATTTTTAGGAGAATGCAGTATTTTTAGTCTGCTATGATAGCAATATATTCATGGACATTTGATTAGAAACAGTTTTCAAGTGAAGTAACTGATCAATTGCAAGACTAAAAATTCTGCATGATACGTGTTTTCTTTTAAATTTGGCTGCATGTTGTTGTTTGCTGCTTTGAAGAATAAAACTAAATTTCCTTGTCTAGACATTTTCCAGAAATTTTACATGTGCATAATTAAACATTTTAAAGACTGTGGAAAGGCAATTACAGCTTTAGCTGGGAAGCAATTAGCAACCCAGAGGAAAAAACAACTCTCCTTGGGATGTCTAGAATGGCCAGTTAATTCTGACACTGTTACCTAATGTTTAATTTTACTTATTCATTCTCAAAATTCTGGAAAATTGCTAGTCCAATCTTTCTGTGTCCAGTAACTTTGTTTTTCCTCCTTCTAGTTTCTGCAGGGCTGACTTTTCTTCTTCCTTTTTCTGAGTTTATTATAGGTTCTAGTGAAGAATACATTAGATGAACATTCTTTTAAGAAAAGAGATTTTTCTCTGCCATTTTTTCAGAAATGTTTTCAGTCATTGCATGAATTCTTAGCATAAGCATAATGCTTACTGATATACTTTACCTTATATATACTAATAGATAAAGGCTTAAAAATTAACTCCCAGGCCATGAAAATTGTTGTTAGCCTTTCCACTGTTCACTGCTTTTGAATACTGGTACAGCTCAGATTTAAAATTGTATTACAGTTTTTTAAAACTTCAGTACTTTTTGACCTTTGGTTTTATGTTGATTCAACCACAGATATTTCCTTCATTTTCACTCAATTTATGTTTTTATATAATGTCTTAGCTTTAGAGTTAAAATTGTAATTAAATTGGAAAATATCTCATTCCATTTTTGACTGGAATTTTTGTGGAGATAGGTGTAGATTCATACACCATTGAAAGAAATAATATATAGATCCTGTGTACACTTTGCCCTGTCATTCAGTTTTTGAATGTGTTAAACACTAAAGTTTTCTGATTGACACATTTTATTTTTGCATGTTATATAGTGCATTACTAGACCTTGAGTAGTTGTGTAGGTGATACTTAAGCAATGTAGACCACAATTAATTGATGTCTTCTTGTTTTGTAGCATCTTAAGGCAGGTTCCTTGAAAGATCCTTTGTTGGATGACCATGGAGATTTTATTAGAATGTGCACAGCCATGAAAAAGATTGGCTTGGATGATGAAGAAAAGCTTGATCTGTTCCGGGTAGTAGCTGGTGTCCTTCACCTTGGGAATATTGATTTTGAGGAAGCTGGCAGCACTTCAGGTTGTTTTTTTGTGTGTGTGTGGTCTTTTTGTTTTGTTTTAAAAAGAAGTAAAATTTGAAGTTCTATCATTTAATTGCCTATGTACATTGACTCTGTGTGCTAGTTTGTTAATCCCCTACATTTCCAGACTATATTGTTTCACATGATGAAACTTGCAACTGAAGGCTGCTGCATTTTTGATTATTGTGAAATTTGTTTTTGAATAAAGCAGTGATACTGATGAGGAATAAACTCATTTTATGAAGGATAAGTAACTGACTACGAGGGTCATATTTGGTTAAGTTTTTGGACTTTTCCAATAAGTGAACAGAATAATCCTCTACTGTCTTTTGAGGCATTTTGATGTTTTTCTGGTTTCACTGATCTAAACTTGGATTAGTTAGTTAGGATAATTGAGTACATAAAAGCCCATATACATTATTATCGGAAATGAAAACAAGTTAAACTTGATGCACATTGAAAAAGCATTTAAATGCCTGCATGATACAACTTTTCAACCATATTGTTTCAGTCTATGTAAATACCAAGTCTTCCCTGGTGGCTCAGATGGTGAAGAAATCTTCCTGCAATGCAGGAGACCTAGATTGAACCCCTGGGTTGGGCAGATCCCCTGGAGAAGGGAAAGCCTACTCACTCCAGTATTCTTGCCTGGAGAATTCCATGGACAGAGGAGCCTGGCGGGCTATAGTCCATGGGGTTGCAAAGAGTCAGACATGACTGAGCAACTAACTCTTGGTATGATCTTAAGTTTGATCCGTGAATGGAGGGGTTGGCTCATGGTCAAATCTGACTAGCTGCCTGTTTTTGTTTTGTAAGCAAAGTTTTAATAGAACACATAAAGACATTTATTTATGTCTTATCCATGCCAACTTTCATGCTGCAGTGTCAGAGTTGGGTAGTTGTGACAGACTGTGTGGCTGGCAAAGCCTAAAACCTCATACTTTAGAGAAAAAGATTGTTGATTCCTGCATAACATACATTGTTTAAAAAAAATCAAAAGCACCATTTAACACAGCAATCAGTAATGTGGGCTTTAGTGTCAGATCCCAGAAGCTCTGTAAACCTTGACTTTTTCACTCATAAAATAATGAAGAGATAATCCACAAGGGGAATGTTTTTTAAGTACAGTTACCTTAAGAGTAGTTTGCATATAAGGGCGGGGCACAAGAGGAAGGAAGAACATTAAAAAATGAATGTGTCTGCTATGTGCAAGACCCTTCCTATATTGTGTTTCATTATAAACATCATAATCATAATCTGAACTTAATAAAGATAATGAGATAGAGGATATTATCTCCATTTTACAGAAGTAGGACCTCTGAGAAGTTTAAGTAGTACGGTCACTAGTGAGGCTGTAGCTATGAGAGATGGTTCTCCTCACATGTGACTCACTGCGGTGTGTGTGATAACTGCCTCTCGTTGCCCTCTGTCACTGAACTTTCTGAGCAGATGGAAGTTGACAGTCTTGATGGCTTTCAGACTGAGTGTCTGTGAGTCTGTGACCTCAGCATCAGATGACAGAGTGTGGTATATAGGAGTACGTTGTCTAGGGCCAGTCTGTTCACCGTGTGTTAACCTGCCTGTGTGACCTGGGGCCAGGAACTTAACCTCTCTGAGTCTCGGTTTCCTCACCTGTAAAGTGGGAATAATAAATACCAGGTCCAACCTCATGTCATAAAGAGGAATAAATGAGTTGAATGTTTGTAGAATGATGCAAATACTTATGCCTGCTATGTAGTAATCACTGTGTTTTTAATGCATAAGTAAAATAAAAATACTGATTACTCCCAGTGAAAAATGAAACAAGGAAAAAGAAAAACTAGGCAATATCAGGTATGTACTTAGTATGCATTAAAATTTGTACTAGTTTTTTTTGAGGAATTTGAAAATGTAATGAATGTTAGAATGCATTTTTGTTTGCTCTGTGGCATCATACCAAGGGAGCATGTAGGAATTCCGAATATTAATAATATCCAAAAATGTTTAATTAATGCACGCTTTGGACATATTGTTTGTTTGAAGTGATAGGTGGCATGTTCACACACCTTGTGTTATTACCCTGTGGTAGGACATGCAGTTGTATACAGAGAATCATGAATGTGGATATAGTTAGTTGGAAAGCATTTAATTGTCAAAAGGCAGTTAGTAGATATTTACATTGTCTTTTATTTTTCTTCTCAAACTTCCTTCTGTTGAAGGGAAAATGAGCAAAAAGCAGAGCAGATTGGAATGAGGCAATAAATCAAAAGAATTAATAAGCTAAGTCATTTTTATTTTAATAGCTAAGATTTTATTATATTAATTGTCATCATTCCTATAATCCTTCCTATAGATTCAGATTTCTTTCTTTCTAATTGGAATTTATTTTTTCCTGTCCCAGAGAGCTCAATTTTGGCATGACTTTGCAATTTGAAAAAGCTCTGGATATTTTGTGATCATTTTATCAGAAAATGTATTCTTTAATAAATATGTAGACAGCTCCCACTGCTACTTAGAAGTTTTTACTTGATGGAAATGCAAAAAATACCTATTGGGAGTTCCTATGTTTTTAAAATTCCACATAACAAAATATACGTTATAAGAACAATTGTAAAAAACTGTTCAAAGAAGTTCATTTTTAGAAGGAGTGACATGAAAGCCTTACATTATTTTATAGTGGTTTTTTTTTGCCTTTCTGAAGTTTTTAATGTTTTAATAAACATTTTAATTTACTAGCATAAATATTTTATGCTAGTATTATATAATTCCTGAAAGTATATAAGAAACGTTGCAAAATAGTTTAAAAAAAAGAAGCATTGAAATGAATTGATCAGTTATTGGTGGTAAATTTTTTGAGTTATGTAATTTTAGATCATGTGTATGTGTGTACAAACTACAAATTAGTAATTTTATTTTCCTGGAATTAAAGGTTTAATATATCTTCTAAGTATTCCTCTTCCCTTATTGTTTTTTTCAGCTTTATTGAAATATAATTTATATTGAGTTGCACAATAGTCACTCTAATCAGTTTTAGAACATTTTCATCACTCTGAAAAGGAACTCCATGCCCTTCATTAGTTACTCCCCAACCCTCCCACATACCTAGCCATTAGGCAGCCACTGTTATACATTGTCTCTATCAATTGGGTGTTTCATACAAATGAAATCAAACAATATGGGCTCTTTTGTGACTAATTTCTTTCCCTTAGCATAATATTTTCAAGGTTCATTCATGTTTAAACATCTGTCAGTACATCATTTCTTTTTTTGCTGACTAATATTTCATTGCATGGACATATACCACATTTTGTTTATCCGTTTGTCATTTGAGGAACTTTTAGGTTGCTTCTACCTTTGGCTATTAAGAATATTGCTATGGCCTAAACATTCATGTGCAGATTTTTGTGTGCATATATATTTTCATTTCTCTGTGTGTATGCCTGGGAGTGGAATTGCTGAGTCATATGGTAATTCTATATTTAACCTTTTGAGGAATTGATTTTCAAAGTAACTGAACCAGTTTTACATTCTCACCAGTCTAGTGCATGCAAAGTGCTGCCTCATTGTGGTTTTTATTTGCATTTTCCTGATGGATCAAGGTGCTGAGCATTTTTTCATGATTTTATTGGCCATTTGTATATTTTTTTTTGAGAAATGACTGCTTATATTCTTTCCTCATTTATTTGATTGCCTTTTAAAAATTCACTTGTAAGAGTTTTAAAATGTATTCTGAATATAAGCTCCTTATCAGATATATAATTTGCAAATATTTTCTCTCTTTCTGTGATTTCTCTTTTAAATTTTTGATAGTGTTCTTTGAAACGTAAAAGGTTTTCACTTTGATGAAATCCAATTTGGGTTTGGGTGGACTCTGGGAGTTGGTGAAGGACAAGGAGGCCTGGCGTGCTGCGGTTCATGGGGTCACAAAGAGTCGGACACAACTGAGCAACTGAACTGAACTGAATTTGCATATTTTTTTTCTTTTGTTGCTTATGGTGCCATATCTAGGAAACCAACCTAGTCCAAGATCATATGGATTTATGTCTGAATTCTTCTAAGAGTTTAATAGTGTTAACTCTTACCTTGAAGTTGAGTGTGAGTTAATTTCTTTGTATGGCATGAAGTAGAAGTCCAGCTACATTATTTTGCATAGGGATGTCCAGTTGTCCAATGCCTTTTGTTTGAAATGCAGTTCTTTCCTCAATGAATTGTCTTGACAACACCTTATTCATATGAGATCTCATAGTCTGTTTCTCCTGAGACCAGTCTGTTAAGTGGTTTATCTATTTGTCATGATATAATTCTCATTATGATTACATGCATTCTTTGTAATCTTGAAATTAGATAGTCTTAAATTAATCATTTATACAGTCCTAAAAATATTAAGTATTTATTATTTTATTATTATTAATAAGACAATAATTATATGTGCTTATTATGCACCAGACACTCTTCCAGGCAATTCACATATCCACCCTTACTAGTCTTCATAACAACCTTATTAGATTGATACAATTACTATCCTTATTATATGGGTGAGGAAACTGAGCATAGTAAGTAACTCATTCAAGGTCACACAACTAGTAAATTCTAGAGCCGTAAGAGCCTGGAGTCTAAAGCACTATTGTATGCTGTCTTTCTATAAAGAAGCATTTTGAAACAGCCTCATAAATAGGAATTATGGATATGATGTTCAGAAAAAATGGCCGTGGCCTCCTCACCCTCCTTTGTCCCCGAGTATCACCAGCACATGCATGAGTGCATGCTCACGCCCGCCCCTAGACAAACATCCACACCCACACTGACCTCACGACGTTTACCACTGAAATTACTCCTTAACGCTTTCTGCAGTCATATGAGTTTTAGTGATAAGGCATTCTGTTATTCCAGAGATTTAATATATTAGCAAGGTTTGTAATCTATCATTAGTATATTTCCCTTGGAGGGTCATGAAAAATGAAACTGTGATAGGTTAAAATTGGTGGGCTGAAAGGATTGTGTCATGGGCTGCCCTGAATGAGAGTCACCCAGTGATCTTGGCAGTATGAGTGTCTTACAAGGGTGGGAAACAAGGGAGGTGAAATTACAAGTCACAAATAAGCCTTGTCTAGTTCATAGCTTTATGTCAGTGAAGTGTACTTCTAAGAAATGCATCTTGAAAATCTCATGTGATGTTTATTAATTGCAAATTAAAATATGTTTTCATTAGGTGGTTGTAATCTGAAGAATAAATCTACTCAGTCATTGGAATATTGTGCTGAATTACTGGGTCTGGATCAAGATGATCTTCGTGTAAGTTTAACTACAAGAGTCATGCTGACAACAGCAGGGGGCACCAAAGGAACAGTGATAAAGTAAGTTCCCTGCTCACTGCTCCCTGCAAGTCCTGCCTTGTGGGGGAAAAGCCAGATCCTGTCTCTGTTCCTTGCTGAGTAAGGCAGAGGACTGTTTCAAAACATTTCAGTAAATTTAAAAAGTAAGGATTAAAAAAAGCCCTGTTAGCAATACAGGAAATTCCATAACTTACTTTGGGAAACATTAGCAAGGTATGTTTAGCCTGGCTCTCTGCTAAGCTAATTCCCAGTTATTGTTATGTTGAAGACAAGCTCAGTGAGGAGAGGATATAGTAGTGCCTGCAGTACTGTGGTTCCTTCAGAGACTTTTCTGGAGCCCACGGGAAGGCTGGTAAAAGCCCCGGGAAGGCTGGTAAAAGCCCCGGGTGTGGTCCTTAGCTCCATTTCCCCTGTGTTCTAAAGCAGTTCTATGTTTTATGGATGGAGGGTCCACATCAGAGTCCCTTTAGGAAAGGGTTCTTCTCCAGGAAATGGAAGTTGAGAAACCACTGTTTAGAAGAGATTCAAGTATTAGTCTGGCCTGAATGACTTTTGAGGTTACTTTGGAAGTTTGATAATTTTTTCTTGTGTTCCCAAAGTGCCTCATGCTTTATGACAGCATTTAGCATAGTGTCTGGAAATTCTTCTGCATGGCAGTCTGTCTTCATCAGGCCGCATGTCTGATCTACAGCGTCTGATGCTGTTATACCATGTAGTTATTAATACTTAGATGAAAGTGTAGAGTTGGACAGTTTGGATTTTAAGATACAGTTTTTTTCTTTTTTCCCTGAACAGTGTTAACAAATTACTGAACTTTAAAGTTGTCTGGAATTAAACACAGTTTCTTTTGCATTTAAGAAAGTCACGTGGAAGATTATTCCTCTGAATAATTTTTTTGTGTATTCAGCATGTACCGTGAGGTATAAAATTAAGGTTACAAAGATTTTTTGAGCCTAATATTCTTTTACTCAATAATAGGTCTTTAATCTAGTTATAGATAATTCTCTTGTAGTATTCTACTTGGCCCTATTTATTTGTTTCCATTCACAACTGGCATTTTGTAGCTGTTTGTTTTGTCCTTCACATTGACTGTGCCTACTCAGTTCTTGGGAACCTGGTGTTATTTCCATAACATGTTGCTAGGAAGAATTTCTGTTGACTCGGTCTTCTTTTACAGGGTACCCCTGAAAGTGGAACAGGCGAACAATGCCCGGGACGCCTTGGCAAAGACTGTCTATAGCCATCTTTTTGATCGAGTGGTAAACAGAGTAAACCAGTGTTTTCCTTTTGAAACATCGTCCTATTTTATTGGAGTCCTGGATATTGCTGGGTTTGGTAAATATAGTTTTGTTTGTGAGTTTGTATCTGTTTGATATTTTTACACCCAGTTTTTCCACACATGTTTAAAATAAAACTTTAAAAACCTTTTTTCCCTTTAATACCTTTCACTTAGTGTATTTCCAGTTATATGTCCATACTATCATTCCATTTCATAATATGATTTAAATAAGAAGCTAATGTTTCAGGATAAAAGGAAAGACTGGTGGATTTTGGTCAAGCTAATGCTTAAATTAAAACATGCTGACTGAAACTACTGTGGGTAGACATGTCTCAGTACTTTTAAATGAGTAGAACTGAATGAAGTCTTCAGTGTTGCTGATAGAGAGAATTGACTCATTAAGACCATTGACTCCAATGTAAAGCTGGGTGCATGTTGATCCAGCACACTGGCCAAACTCCTAACTATGTATAAAAATTCATCCTTAGTGTTAGTTGTCATCAGTGAGCTATTTCCAATTATTTTCTACCAAATGAGTAAGCTATTAAGATAAATATTTGAGAAGAATGTGGATGTGTATGACCTGAAATGAAATGAGTCACTGATGTCCGAATGCTTTGTTTGGAATGACCATGTTGTAAAAATCTCAAAGTAAGTCTGACCATTTTTTTATTGAGCTTTATCAGTGTGGGCGTTCCTTCTGTCTGCACAAGTGCTGTCCTTTGTAATTTGTTTGCAGTTGCCAAGAGAAGATATGAGTGTTTACATTTTTGGGAAGGACAGAGTTTTGTTTTTGATGTGATACATATTTTGAAATTTACAATAAGGCATTACCTTTTGTTCACAGCTAGAGAAACACTCATTACTGACTTCAGAATTTCATAGTCTTCAGACATTTGTTTCCTGGTCTGCACCAGTTTGGCACAACACATGAATACACAAAGTCATAACATTTTAAAGCTGCAAGGATCTTAGAAATAATGTAATACAACTCCTTAATTTTAGAAATGCATTAGTATCCATAATATTTTTTCTAACTATAATCTCACAGATCATACAAAAAAATATGAAGTGCTTACATTTTAAGTCATTTTCTTCAATTTAGATTGCTTTAAGTCCTGTGCCTTAAAAGTATGTTACAAGTGACTTATGTTTTATATCTTTTACTATATGACATTTATCTAACAAACAACTTTTTGTCAAGCTGAGGTGTTTCTAATACTTAATTTTAGTGCCTGTCAAAATTTAAGTCTTGAAATAAGAGCATTTGAGGAGTATGAAACAGTTATACATACATTTTAACCTACTGTTAAATTAAGAATTGATACAATAAAATTTTATCCTAAGTTAAATTTATTCATGTGAAGTATATCTGATAATGACTCTTGATTCTGGTTTTATTTTCAGAGTACTTTGAACATAACAGTTTTGAACAATTTTGTATCAACTATTGCAATGAAAAGCTTCAGCAGTTTTTTAATGAAAGGATTCTGAAGGAGGTAATTGACGTACAATTTAGATTTAAGAATGGCCCTCTATTTTAAATTTCAAGGTACCGAGACAGACTGCAGTTACCCAGATGGATGTGGTGTGATGTAAGGTGGCCCAGGGAATCAGAGAGGGCCTGCGTGGGCTTTGGGGGCCCATCTTAAGTGTTAATGGTACAGCTGAGCTTAGGAGCCAAGCTAAGTAAAAACTCTAGAATGGGCGCCTCCTCAGAAGTGAGGGTATCTTGCTTTTTGCTAGTGACTTTTACTAGACTTGAAATTCTTCTTGTTTCGTTTCCTGGTTCTGCTGTCTCTCGTCCCCCACTGTGAATGAGCAGTCTCCTCTCAGCCCTGTCCTGGGCCCCCCTCTCTTCCCCTGGGTCTCTGCCTCTGCCCCCCGTTCCCTGCTCACCCTCTTTCTCTGAATGGCGGCGGAGCCCCCAGGGGGGAGAGTCCATGGGCCCCGGCCGGCCTGCCTCCCCAGCCCCGCCCGTTACACTCTGCATGCCCGTGGCCTGTAGGGGGCGTGTTTTTGGCCGGACACTGCGTCTGGTCGAGTAAGGAACCTCCCGCTGCTACTCATAGTAGATGAGTCCTTTCTAACAGTTCAGAGTCCTCACTAAGTGTAGGTAACTTTGAATCAGTAGATTTGTGATTAGTCTCACCATTTTTTTCCTTTTATCTTTAATTTTCTGCTGTTTCCTACCGATACTCTTCCCTTCCCCTCCTTTGAGCTGTTTGATAGGTATTTTCCTGAGTGAAGTGGGCAGAGTTAAAGGGAACTCAAAATGACTCCCTTAATCTAGGCCAGCCCTTTGTTCTACAGATGAAGAAACCACAGCAGTTCAGTGACTTCTGCAGGCCTACACCCACCTTCCTGGCTGCTGGTTCATAGCCCCATTTCCTTCGTATTAGCACTGCTGTTTTCGCAGCTCCCCTCTATATCTGGACTTGAAATGTGAAATACTTTCTTTCCTGTTCCAATCCCATTCATCTTTTCCTCCTTTCTTACTATGTTTTTGTCCTTTTGGGTTTCCCAGCACATTCCAACTTTTATACCTCTCCTTATATATTATATTATAGTTAAGCCAGTTCTGGCATAAACAGAGAGGTGAAGACAAGTACTTAGCAGTGAAGATAGTTTCTCTGAAAATATTTCCTGTGCTGCCTCAGTCATCCCATTACTGTGTGAACTTTGGCATGTATGCTTCTCACTTAACCTGCCTTAATTCTTCCCTTCCTACCAGCCCAGCAAGCTTTATCTAGAAACGTCATGAAAAGGAGACAGTCTTGATTTATGTTTATAACAGTTCTTTAAAATAAAAAGGTGAATTTCAAATTCAGATTGAGTTCAAGTGGACACTGCCTCCTAGAATGACAGAAACCTTTTTGAATATGTCTCTTAGGAGGAAATACTTAAACATTCAAGGGGAAAAATAAGAATGATACATAAACCTGAGCTCATTGCATTGCTCACCCATCTGTGATAAAATTCCCGCCTGCCTGCCCCCAACCCCGGTCTTGTCTTGGGTTCGAGTGATTATTAACAGATCCTTGTGCCTGTGCCTGGCTGCCCAGTGTATTTCAGGGAAAGCATGCTTATCTGTGAGCGAACATGTATAAGTTGTTCATTATGTTGGCCATTGAAGTTGTGATTTCACCTTGCCTTAGCGACAAGTATTTTTCTTCCTTAATGTTTTGTAAGACTTCTCAGTCACCAAATCAGTTGGTATGAACCTTTGTACACTAAATAGTAAATGTTATGATTATATCTGGCATAAAACAGTGAGTCTTTCCTCTCACATGGCATCTCCATATCTATGATTATGGTTATTTCTTCCTAGGAACAAGAACTCTATCAAAAGGAAGGTTTAGGGGTGAATGAAGTGCATTATGTGGATAATCAGGACTGTATAGGTATGTGTTGTTTTAATCCATTTTGGGGAATTATGGGAAGATACAGTGAATGTTTTCACTAGTCATTCTTCTGTGCTCTGTAATTGATGCTCCTGGGGATGGGACTTGAAACTGTGGTATTCAGCAGAGGATTTACCTCTCTGGTACTGCTGGGAAGTTGTTTTTTCACATGAAGGCACCAAATTCAGCTGTACTGAAAGTATTCTGAAAATTTCTTCTGTTTACTGTGATGGGCATTTTCTTTCTTGAACAGTTAACACATGACTAAGTTAAGGAGGAAACAGCCCTGTTTAAGCAGTGAAGGGATTCCTTACATGGCGTGAGGAAGTCTGGTAAAGCACGGCTCCCTGCGCGGTCTGCAGGGGCTTGGCTCTGCGCCTGCCGTTGTTCGTCTCTTCTCTATACCTCAGCTCTACCCTCCAGCTGGTTGCAGGTCGGCCTCACAAGCTCAGTGGGGCCCAGCAGATAATGCCACGCAGCAGGAGAGCAGTCTCTTTCCTGGTCTCTTGTTGGTAGAGAGATCTTTCCTGTCACCACCCAACTGGTGCTCAGGCTGGCTTTTCCTTCTGGCCTATCTCTAAAATCAGCTGTTGGGTAAGCCTTGCTGTGAAAGTGGCATTTGACAGTTGAGCCAGTAACTCGTGCTAGATTTGCACAAGACAGAACAGTGGTAACAGCAACAACACAGTCACAGTGATAATACTTTACATTTGTATAACTTCTCAAAGGACTTTCGTACCCTGCCTGGTCCACTTAGTGTATCCCTCCACATCCCTTGCCCTTTCTCAGATCTTTGTGCCTCTGATGGTGTCGTTGGATATCTTGGCTGAAACTCCTCCCCTTCCGTTTACCTTTCTGCCCACTTCCATGCCCTGCATCTGTCAGAATACTCTTGTTTACAGCTCAGTTAGTGTGCTCCCCTTCACCCCCACTACCTGCCCAAGATGCATCGTTCTCTCCCAGTGCAGTTAGAGTCTTGATTTCTCTTCCTGTGTCCTGTAGCTTTTATTCATAATTAATTAATTAAATTTTTATTGAAGGATAATTGCTTTACAGAACTTTGCTGTTTTCTGTCAAACCTCACCCTGAATCAGCCATACGTATACATATGTCCCCTCCCTTTTGAACCTCCCTCCCATCTCCCTCCCTATCCCACCCCTCTAGGTTGATACAGAGCCCCTGTTTGAGTTTCCTGAGACATACAGCAAATTCCCTTTGGCTCTCTATTTTACATGTGGTGATGTAAGTTTCCATGTTAGTCTTTCCATACATCTCACCCTCTCCCCATGTCAGCAAGTCTATTCTCTATGTCTGTTTCTCCATTGCTGCCCTGTAAATAAATTCTTCACTACCATTTTTCTAGATTCCATATATAAGCGCTAGAATACAATATTTATCTTTCTCTTTCTGACTTACTTCACTCTGTATAATGGGTTCTAGGTTCATCCACCTCATTAGAACTGACTCAAAGGTGTTCCTTTTCATGGCTGAGTAATATTCCATTGTGTATATGTGCCACAACTTCTTTATCCATTCATCTGTCGGTGGGCATCTAGGCTGCTTCCATGTTCTAGCTATTGTAAGTAGTGCTGCGATGAACAATGGGATACATGCGTCTTTTTCAATTTTGGTTTCCTCAGGGCATATGCCCAGAAGTGGGATTGCAAAGTCATATGGTGGTTTTATTCCGAGTTTTTTAAGGAATCTCCATACTGTCTTCCATAGTAGCTGTTTACATTCCCACCAACAGTGCAAGAACATTCCCTTTTCTCCACACCCTCTCCAGCATTTATTGTTTCTAGACTTTTTGAGGGTGGCCATTCTGACTGGTGTGAGGTGATAATCTCATTGTGGTTTTCATTTGCATTTCTCTAATAATGAGCACTGTTGAGCATCTTTTCATGCGTTTGTTAGCCATCTGTATGTCTTCTTTGGAGAAATGTCTGTTTAGGTCTTTCTCCCACTTTTTGTTTGGGTTGTTTGTTTTTTTGATATTGAGTTGTATGAGCTGCTTGTATATTTTGGAAATAAATTCTTTGTCAGTTGTTTCATTTGCTATTATTTTCTCCTGTTCTGAGGGTTGTCTTTTCACCTTGCTTATAGTTCCTTTGCTGTGCAAAAGCTTTTGATTTAATCAGGTCCCACTTGTTTACTTTTGTTTTTATTTCTGTTACTCTAAAAGGTGGGTCATAGAGGATCTTGCTTTGATTTATGTCATCGAGTGTTTTGCCTATGTTTTCCTCTAAGAGTTTTATAGTTTCTGGTCTTGTGTTTAGGTCTTTAATCCATTTTGAGTTTATCTTTGTGTATGATGTTAGGAAGTGTTCTGATTTCATTCTTTTACATGTAGCTGTCCAGTTGTCCCAGCACCATTTATCGAAGAGACTGTCTTTGCCCCATTGTATGTTCTTGACTCCTTTGTCAAAAATAAGGTACCCATAGGTGCATGGGTTTATTTCTGGGCTTTCTGTCTTATTCCATTGGTCTATATTTCTGTTTTTGTGCCAGTACCACACTGTCTTGATGACTGTAGCTTTGTAGTATTACCTGAAGTCAGGAAGGTTGATTCCTTCAGCTGCATTCTTCTTTCTCAAGACTGCTTTGCGTCTTTGGGATCTTTTGTGTTTCCATATGAGTTGTGAAATTTTTTGTTCTAGTTCTGTGAAAAATGCCATTGGTAATTGGATAGGGGGTCACGTTGAATCTGTAGATTGCATTTGGTAGTGTAGTCATTTTCAGTAACATGGACTAGCTCTCCATCTGTTTATGTCATTGATTTCTTTCATTAGTGTCTTATAATTTTCTGTGTGCAATTCTGTTGTCTCCTTAGGTAAGTTTATTCTTAGATATTTAATTATTTTTGTTGCAGTGGTGAATGGCATTGATTCCTTAATTTTTTTTTCTGATTTTTCATTGTTAGTATATAGAAATGCAAGTGATTTCTGTGTATTGATTTTGTATCCTGCACCTCTGCTAAATTCACTGATTAGCTCTAATAATTTTCTGACACTATCTTTAGGGTTTTCTATGTACAGTATCATGTCAACTGCAAATAGTGAGAGAGCTTTACTTCTTTTCCAGTTGGATTCCTTTTATTTATTTTTCTTCTCTGATTGCTGTAGCTAGGACTTCCAGAACTGTGTTCAATAATAGTGGTTACAGTGGACACCCTTGTCTTGTTCCTGATCTTAGGGGGAATGCTTTCAGTTTTTCACCACTGAGAATAATGTTTGCTATAGGCTTGTCATATATGGCCTTTACTATGTTGAGGTAGGTTCCTTCTATGCTGATTATTTGAAGAGTTTTAATCGTAAATGGGTGCTGAATTTTTTTCAAAGGCTTTTTCTGCATCTATTGAGATTATCATATGGTTTTTATCTTTCAATTTGTTAATATTGTGCATCACATTGATTTGCGTCTATTGAAGAATCCTTGCATCCCTGAAATAAACCCAACTTCATCATGGTGTATGAGCTTTTTGATGTGTTGCTGAAATCTGTTTGCTAAAATTTTGTTGAAGACTTTTGCATCTATGTTCAGCAGTGATATTGGCCTGTAGTTTTCTTTTTTTGTGTTGTCTTTGTCTGGTTTTGGTATCAGGGTGATGGTGGCCTCGTAGAATGAGTTTGAACATGTTCCTTCCTCTGCAATTTTTGAAAGAGTTTTAGAAGGATAGGCATTAGGTCTTCTCTAAATGTTTGATAGAATTCTCCTGTGAAGCCATCTGGTCCTGGGCTTTTGTTTTTTGGGAGATTATTGATCACAGCTTCAATTTCAGTGCTTGTTGTAATTGTGTTGTTCATACTTTCTATTTCTTCCTGGTTCAGTCTTGGAAGATTGAACTTTTCTAAGAATCTTTCCATTTCTTCCAGGTTATCTATTTTACTGCCATATAGTTGTTCATAATAGTCTTTTATAATCCTTTGTATTTCTGCATTGTCTGTTGTAACATCTCCTTTTTCATTTCTGTTTTGTTGATTTGATTCTTCTCTCTTTTTTTCTTGATGACTCTGGCTAAAGGCTTTTCAATTTTGTTTATCTTCTCAAAGAACCAGCTTTTAGTTTTGTTAATCTTTACTACTGTTTCTTTCATTTCTTTTTCTTTTATTTCTGCTCAGATCTTTATGATTTCTTTCCTTTTGCTAATTTTTTTTTCTTTTTCCAGTTGTTTTAGGTGTAAAGTTAGGCTGTCTATTTGATGTTTTCCGTTTCTTGACATAGAATTGTACTGCTCTAAACTTCCCTCTTACAGCTGCTTTTGCTGCATCCCATGGGTTTTGAGTTGTCATGTTTTCACTGTCATTTGTTTCTAGAAATTTTATTTCTCTTTCGATTTCTTCAGTAACCTGTTGGTTATTTAGAAATGTATTGTTTAATCTCCATGTGTTTGTGTTTCTTAAAGTTTTTTCTTGTAGTTGATACCTAGTCTCATAGTGTTGTGGTTGGAGAAGATGCTTGATACGATTTCAATTTTCATATATTTACTGAGGTTTGATTTGTGACCTGAGATGTGGTTTGTCCTGGAGAATGTTGCATGTGCACTTGAGAAGAAGGTGTGTTCTTCTGCATTTGGTTGGAATGTCCTGAATATACCAATGAGACCATCTCATCTAAAGTATCATTTAAGACTTGTGTTTCCTTATTAACTTTCTGTTTTGATGATACGTCCATTAGTGTGAGTGGGGTGTTAAAGTCTCCTACTTTTATTGTGTTACTGTCAATTTCTCCTTCTGTGTCTCTTAGTGTTTGTCTTCTGTATTGAAGAGCTCCTATGTTGGGGGCATAGATTTACAGTTGTTATGTCTTCCTCTTGGATCGAACCCTTGATCATTATGTAGTATCCTTCCTTATCTCTTGTTCAGTTCAGTTCAGTCACTCAGTCGTGTCCGACACTTTGGAACCCATGGACTGCAGCATGCCAGGCCTCCCTGTCCATCACCAATTCCCAGAGTCCACCCAAATCCATGTCCATTGGGTGATGGATGGTCAGTGATGCCATC